TGGCTTGCTCCCCCCCTACCTTTGACAACTCTCGTTGTTTCTGTCCCGCATAATCCACAAGTTACTTGAAATGGAAGAGACAACGTCGGCTTGATCTCCCGTTTGGAAAAGCTCAAGGCCAACCACGAATGGGTGTCTAGTCTTAGGTAGGTGCAATATGCAAGCACCTGTTTCTGCCAGGCTCTTCACCGTACCTGATTGACAAACACGGGATCTACATACATCCCCTACCGAGCACAAGCCTGGGCTCGCTCCAGGTTCTAGAATACTTCACCTTGAGCTGAGCTGAGCTGTGGACAGCTCCCGTGATGTAACTTCGTACATTGCTTCCCCCGTTGCTGCCGTCGCCGCCGCCACTGGCTTGGTGCTGCTAATTTTACCCCAACCGCCGTTCCGAAAGCAGACAACGGGCTGGCGCTGGCTGATGACCCCCCCTGCACCGCCACAAGGGGGGGCCGGGAAAAACTCAGATCGTCACTTGTGCATTCTACTCTCCCCCAGGTTTTTTCTCTGCTCAGTTTCTTGTCGTTCCCCTTGATGCTGGAGCATATTTTGATGGAAACGAGGTCACGATGCCTCAAAGTAATTTCCTACCGTCAGGGTTGTTGGGCCATGGCATCATTCCAGCTCCAGGTCACGATGGAGAGACACTGGGCATGGGAGTTCCGGTCCCCGGGGTTCCACGCACACCGTCTTTGTCCAGAGTGACTCAAAGCATCCCTACGGGAAACAGAAAGAAAAATAAAAACTCACGATACTTTGGGCCGTGGTCACAACATACGTGTCCTCTCCCAGTCGCCCCCTGCGGTGAGTTCGGTTGAGGAGTTGCAATGCCGTTGCAGGAATTGCGGCATCGTAGTCCGCATTACTGCCGGCCGCCGGATTACGTATCCATGCAGCAATCGCTCCCAACCATTGCCTTCCATCTTCCATTGCCTTCTCGTTTTCAAGACGGGAAAGTGAGGCCTCCTCCTTCTTCTCTTCTGCATCCCAACGGGCGTTCTCTGCCGCATCAGTTCCGATGAGGAATGGTCTTCTGTGATCCATCACTTACCTATGCTTACCTTTGCGGGAGCAACAAGTTTCCTGGGAGAAGAAACCACTCACTCGCCCGGCAGTTGCAACTTGATAAAGGGCCAAAATGGCTCGTCCAAATCGAGTAACCCAATAGGCCATTTACGCCGTTCACGCCTGTTGTCCAAATGTCCCCCGAGGAGGCCTCTGCAAACTCAATCGACATCCAACTTGACTGACGAGCCCAGCTGCTCGACTCGCCTTACTTCGCACATCATCTTGGAACTGTCCGATCCAATGCATTCAAACGTCGTCAACCCCGGAAAATATCAAGTAATCAACACAGGCAGAGCCTCCATGTCCCACGGCTAGTTCCCCACTTGAGACTGTCCCAACGTCAAGTACCAAAAGTCCGCTGCTGCCTCCAAACGTGGTCCCCAACAACTGAGGTGGTCCCGAAATTCTTACACACTCTGCTTTCTTTAGCACATCTCGGGACCAAAATCGATGATGCAAGACCCAAACCGCCAAGCCAGCTCCGTCCGACGGACCACACGTTTGGTCATCCCATTGTGACAGTGAGCGTGCGAAGAAACGCCTTGGCTGGTGGGTAGCATCTCACACCCAACCCCCCGGGAGGTGCATGAGACTAGAAAGAAACCCCCCAAGTGCGCAGATCATCCGGGCTCGGGAAAGCCTTCCAAGTTGCGGCCCACCACCCATCACCCGTCACCTCTCCGAGGTTGCAGAAACACGGGACGCAAAAAAAGACGTGATCCTGTCTCCCCGAGACCTGCGACGGGCGAAGAACACAATGACAGAGACCTGCATTGCTTGGGGAAACACAAGGCATGGACTGCCTTATCCCATGGTTCAAATTGATTGATGATACTGGGTGTGAAAGGTTCCCTCACTCCCCGGCGCGGCCCAATCTCGAAACGGCACGTTACGGGCTGGTAGCTAGCTTTGCTTCAGGATCTGCAGGTCAGCCCGGCCGATGCGGGCGAGATACCGTGCCCGTCCCCGGAAGGGCAGCTCGGTCGGGAGTGTGTGAGGGATCCAGCGTCCAGTCTTCCCCAGAATCTCCTTGCCGGCAGGCCGTGATCGCCCGAACATTCGACGGGAGCGGGCTCCTCTTCGTCCGGCCATCCCATCCATCCCGTCCCACCCCGTCACCTTCCCTTTCCCCCTCCCTCCCACCAATCCTCCTCCTGCAGGTCACATCCCCATTCCCCCCCCTCCTCTTCAAATGGCATTCAACTATAATCTAAGTACCTTCACCTAGAGGCATCCCCGGCATCAGCACTACCAAGCAACGCCCTCGTACCTGACGTTTATTACCCCTCCACACTCCTCCACTCGCTTCCCCGTGCCCCAGACTCGCGGACCGTCCAGCCAAGAGACGAGTCAAGCAACCCCGCATGTGGCCAGTTTATGGGGTAATGAGGGGGTAATACTGGGGTTTTGAAGGGGTAATGAAAACGCCCATATTTCGTAATTCGAGACTTTTAGCTCAAGCACGTTATTTGGAGATGAGGAAAAAAAGTTTTTCTTGCTGTCACGATGCCGATTGAGAAATATACAAAAATAATAATCAGGGCAGCGTTTTGAAAGTTGTTTCCAAAGCCAGGTACATGAGGTACAAAGCCCCAAAGTACCGAGTGACAAACCTCGAAGTACCAACAACGACAAGCAACAACAGGTACAAAGACAAAAACACTTCGACCTGGACCGTGGCTGTTGGGGAGACTTTGCCAACCCAAACCCACTCTGCAAGATTTTTTTTTGGAGAAAAAGAGGGCCTGGAAGATTCACAGGACTTCCATCTCCAACTCTCCCCAAACCCGTCATGTCGTCTCCCGGTGGAACAGCTGATGGGTCTTGGTCGCTTACTGGTCAGCGTCAGCATCAGCATCAGCATCAGCACCAGCATTTCCCTCCTCATGCCCTCTCAGATTTGACGCCTGATGGCCAGGCAAAGCGCGCCGCCCGCTTGGCGCAGCCCGTTGTTGTGACCGTCGCGGACAATGCCCTCCTCCTTCACGCCTATCGCGGCTGTAGGTCGGCGTTCTCGCCCTGCGGTCATTCTCCTGCGGGAGCAATCAAGGAGAAGTCTTTGCTGAGGGAAGGGTGAAGTCACCCATCATCTCGAGGTCGCGTCGCGAAGCTCTGATGCTGGCACCCGTGGTCTGTGTCCCTCGAAGGCGTTCTAATTCAAAACCGTCAACATTTGCAAAGACGCGGAGGAACGCATGATATTTGTCTGACAGCGTCTTTCCGAATGAACCAGCAGTTCCCCGAGCCGTGGCCGTCACACTTCCCCCGCCGAGAGTTCCTTCGTACAATCATGATGGAGATTTGGATCAGCGCGACATTGACGAGAGAATGGATGGCGCGAGATCGAGAAGTTTCTCCTCCCAAGAGCATCGCTTCTGACGAGGTGCGAAACTGGCAAAGACTAGGAACGATGGAGAAGTCAACTCCAAGCCGCGCTCAAAACAACCGAACTGAACTTCTCTCATATTAGTGAGCCGCATTCCAAAGGCAGCACCAAGTGTGGCTGCTCCAGAGCCTTAGCTACCCCCACGTGGATGACAGACGAAGACCGGAGATATTCAACATCAAGTCTCAAGCTGGGATACAGCAGTTCGGGTGAAAATTGTCTTGCGACCTAGTGGTCGGTTCTCGGGGCAGGCACCTGAATGGAAAGAAGAATAGCCCAAGTTGGTGGCATGCTCGACTTGTTGAGGATTGGAGATCATGAGGGGATGAGGTTTACCAGAGCCGGGATATGAACCAAAGCTCTCTATTAAAGAGAGAACGTATTCATTGCTTCCGTCTACATAAGAAGCAAATGTAGATCCAAGAACACCAATGAGCCATGCATGCTCTCAAAAATCAGAGCATCGTGTGGTTGTGCCAAGACCAGCTGAACGTGCCAAGCTCGATAGTGAGTTGTGGCGTTCGCCAACCCTCAGCTCACGCCACGCAGGCCTCGAACCTCAAAGACCTCTTTCTTATCGACGAGTCAAACGTCGTGGATATCAACGTGCTCAAAAACCCTCTTTATCCTGTGTTGATCTGATTTATTTTGGCTCTTGTTGATTATTTCTCTCTGGAGTCTACTCTTGCCCCGTTAGACTCTTGTTCTTGCACCATTCAGGAGTGAATGGGTCTGGCCTCACTCGTATCTGTGAGCTTTTACACATCCTCAGAATGGAATACTTCAAAAAGGCCAAAAGCCAAGTCAAGGGTGCGGTCAAGGAGGCCCAGGTCCTGGCACAACAGCTTCAGAGTCAGCATCAGTATTCCCAGCCACAATATCAGCAACAGCAGCCGCAGCAAACTAGCTATTCGACGACAACAGCACAATACCCCAACCATCAACAGCAACCACCATATCCGTACTCCAACGGTCATTATGGCAACCCCGGAAACGGTGTGAGCCAACCTGGACTACCGCAGTATCATTACGGAGGGCCGCAACATTCATACCATCATGGACAGCCTACAAATCAGGCACAGCCAGCGATGTCTCCTGGACACTATCCGCAATACATGGCAGCTCCTCCACCACAACAGAATGCCACTTACCGAGCACCACCACCACCACCATCAACCGCTCGGCCGCAGCCGCAACCAGATCTCGGGTATCAGGGGTATCAGGGGCATCAGGGATATCAGGGATATCAGGGATACCACGCTGCTCCTGCTCCTCCGCCTCCGCTGAACTACAATGGTCACGCAGCGCTCCAGCAGCCAGAGGCAGAGTACGCGCCCCAGGAGCCTGGGCGTGGTCAGATACAGAGTTCTTCTCCAGGTCAGACGTTTGATATGACTGCAATGTCTCAAGCCCTAGGTCCCGGTCCAGGTCAGAGCCGCGATGCTACACAAGCACAACCCCAGAATCAGCAGCGCCAAGCTTATCTCCAGCAAGATCTGCCATCGCCGGCAGCCCCTCCGTCCAACGCAACCGCTCTTGTACCATGTCCCAAGTACGAGATGGCGTCTTTGGAAGTCGTGTCGTTCTACGTTCTTAGGGACGAGGTTTTGAATGCACATCAGTCATCCCCAGGGAAGAAACGGACGGATCCTGACGCCTTTGCTATTTGCAGCGCTTGCTTTGCTAGCGCAGTTGCATCAACAGGAAATGCGCAGCTCTCTGCATGTTTTCGTCAACGAGAGAAAGCAATACCAAAAAACCCCGAGACACCGAGGCAGTCCTTTGAGCAGCTCGAGTGTCGATACGCCACCGTGCCGCGCCTGCGAGCGGTCATCTCTCAGTTTGGCGGGCAGCAGAAACCACCACACCAAAGCTCGGCGATGATAGACTCTCTGGTACATCTCGCCAAATCCATTTGCGAACTCGGACCCTGTGCCGGGGCAGGGCCGGTCACCGAGGAGACGCCATACTACACTTCCAGGGCGCTCGACCAGCTCGCCGTATGCAGCCCCTGCTTCGAGCAATTCTTCCGTGGCACTCCCTTTGAGCGGGAGTTACACCGCTCTACGCCCATGTCTGGATGGGGATGCGATGTCCGCGGAATTCGCGGACACGTCTTCAAGATGCTTGCGCGGGAGCTGGACGCGGGCCCGCAGCGCATGTCGTTCGGCCGTTTCGCAGAAGCCACGCGATCCCGGCTTGCCATCGGCTGTGCAGGAGAGAACAATCCCATCTGGCCCGTGGAGTCCTCTGCGCCGCACTACAGTTACGAGCCGCACGACCCGAGCAAGGCGGGTGTGTTCTGCGAGGCGTGCTACTGGGACTTTGTCCACGGCACAGCTGTGGACCGGTTCTTTAACAACCGCGTCCGGCTCGACGAGGAATTTCGGGGCACCATCTCTTGTGACCTTGGGGGTGTGGCTTCGCGGTTTGCTATGCAGTGTGCCGTCAGGTGCGGCGACGACGAGGTCTGGCGCCGTTGCATCTCGAAAAGGGGAACGCTGCCACCTTGTGTTGGACTCAGGGGTGTCGACGAGGAAGATTTGCTGGGAAAGAATGCAGACGACGACTCCTTATGGTATTGCTTGGCAGAGCATCCCTCGATCGAGGTCTGCCCTTTCTGTTACAACTCGACGGTAGAGCTGCTCGGAGCCAGCCACCTCTTCGCACCAATCACCCGTTCTCTTTCCCCCGGCGTTATACGGTTCTGCTTTCTCTCGAACCCATCAGATCACGACGCCGACACATCAGACAACGCCAATTTCGAGAACACGCTGGTCTGGCGCGGGCTCATTCTGCGGCGATGGCTACACCAAGGCTTCGACTCGCACAGAATCGACGACTTTGCGGGTTTCCGGAGCGCGGCGGGACTCGTAGCTTCGTGGCCGCCCCCGTGCGGCGGCTCCGAGCGGGCATTCAAGTCGGGCAGCGGCCGCAAGTGGTTCGGCAACGCCTTCTATCTCATTGGCGACAACGAGCAACATATTAGCCTCAACATGTGCGAGGAGTGCCACGACGACGTGGTCAAGGGCACAGCGCTCGAGTACGACCTGTCCCACGACAAGACGGCGCGGGCGTACGAGATCTTCCCGGACGGGCTGATGTGCAACCTCGGAACGTCCCGACGTCTGCGGGACGAGCTTGCCGCGTCGCTGAAGAAGGGCACCTTCGTAGACTTTGCGCATTACTTCTACAGGCGCAAGGATGTCTCCGAGCGCAAGAGGGCGATTGACAAGCTCTGCCAGGAGCAGACCGTTCGTCAGCAGCAGATGCTTGACGCGGTCAATCTTCAGGGCCAGACCGCCGCGCTCAATCTCATGCAGCAGCTCAACGCGAACACGAACGCTGTCATCATGGGTGTCGGCGGGTCCGTGTCGGCCGCCGCGGCGACGGACTACGGCCAGCGCTTCGGCAACGCGACTGTTGGGTATGGACACTTGACTCACGGGTCGGCGGCGGCTGCGCAGGCACATCATGATGCGCAAAACATGGCAGCAAGACAGCGTCAGGGTGTGAGCGCTGCGGACTTTAAGCCTTGCGGTGATACCTGGGCTGATACGCAGCAGTTATTGGCCTTGGCCAATGCTGTTGAGGAGGAGTGGAAGGCTGTCAACTAAGTAGAGCGTTACCAACTAATATTTCCCAAGTGTTTTGAAATGAGTTGACCAGGAGCTCTTCAAAGAGCAGGATGAGCTATTACTGATGGGTGGTCGCCGAATACTCAACTATCTATCGATTACGTTGAGGAAGTTTCATAGCCCACTCTGTACAGATTATTCTATCGATAATACCTTCTTTCTTTTAGTAATATAATATTTTATTGAAAAAGGACTAGTTACTAAGATTTAACTTGATATCAACTCGCGTGAGACGAGTTCATTACTCTGTGTTATTTATGGAACTTTGTTTTCTGCTTTATAAAGGACGAAGCTATCTGAAGTTGAGTACATTGTGATATTGGAATAAGTTAGCACCTCGAAATTCAGAGCTATTTGTTTTTGGTAATTACAAACCTTCAGTGTTCAAAAATACTTTGATCGAGCAAGCTTGATGTCTCATCTCATAAGGTACCTCACTGCTTCACAGTGTTAGGTAGGTAGGTAGGTTGTGTTGCTGAGAGCCCCGCAGCAGCTACAGCGCAACCTCTCATTGGACTGTGCGGCGCCCCGGCGCGCGAATATTCATTCTTTTCGGGGTTCTCTGGCGCATCATGACTTCACTCCTCAAATCCAACTCAACACCAGAACTAAAGATTGAAATTACGTGCCTGAGCTGGAGATCAGGCTTCGTTTTCTTGCGATTCGCGATCTTCATACAAACTAGGACACATTCCTTCTGCCTCACCCAACTTTTTCGTCAACTCAACTCGCATTTTGCGGCTTCACCCCTCTGCTTCTGAGTTCACGCACCCCGCCTCCTCACACTTACTCAACACCAAGCCAGGAAGCTGTTAGTCAGTGGCCGGTACAAATTAGTGTCACTCCGAAAATGGATACCTCCAGCAGAGCATACGCAGAATCTCTGGATCAGAAGGACGCCCTGCGGCACACGCGGGACGAGTTTGTCATCCCGACCAAGCAAGAGGTCACCAGCAAGACCCTGGCAAAGAAAGGTCTCTCCCAACCCAAATCAGACGACACTCTCCACCCTCACTCTCCCAGCTTCATAAATTACCAACAATGAGGCTAACATCCTGTCTCCTGTAGATGAGGGCTCCGAGCAGAAGCAGCAGAAATGCACCTACCTCTGCGGCAACTCTCTCGGTCTGCAACCCAAGCGCACGTCTGAGAGGATACAGCAGTACCTCGCAACATGGGCGACACAGGGCGTCCAGGGCCATTTCAAGCCGTTGGACGACTCGCCCCTTCCGACATGGCTCGACGTTGACGCCAAGGCATCCAAGATGATGGCTCCCATCGTCGGCGCCGACCCTTCTGAGGTCGCTGTAATGCAGACGCTCACGGCCAACCTCCACCTGCTGATGTCGGCCTTTTACAAGCCTCAAAAGGACGGCCGGCACAAGATCATCCTGGAGAGCAAGGCTTTTCCCAGCGATCACGTAAGATCCTGTCGCTATGAGCAAGTTCCATTCCTAACAAACAGAGACAGTTCGTCGTCGAGACGCAGATCAGACACCACGGCCTCTCCCCGGAAACCTCCATGGTCTGCATCGAGCCCAAGGACGCCGCAAAGGACAGCACGCTCAGCACCGAGCACATCCTCTCTGTAATCGCGGAGCACGCCTCCGAGACCGCCCTGCTCCTCCTGCCGGGCATCCAGTACTACACCGGCCAGCTCCTCGACATCCCGACCATCACGGCCTTCGCGCGCAAGCACTCCGTCTTCGTCATCTGGGACCTCGCCCACACCGTCGGCAACGCGCCCCTGCGGCTGCACGACTGGGACGTCGACGCCGCGGCGTGGTGCACGTACAAGTACCTCAACGGCGGGCCGGGCTGCATCGGCGGCGCCTTCGTCCACGAGCGCCACTCCCGCGTGACGACGGCCGTCTCGGACCCGGACGCCGCGTCGGGGTACACGAACCGCTTCGCCGGGTGGTGGGGCAACGACAAGTCGTCGCGCTTCGTCATGGCGACCAAGTTCCACCCGGCGCCCGGCGCGGCGGGGTTTCAGCTGAGCAACCCCAGCGTGCTGGATATCACCAGCCTCTGCGCGTCGCTCGAGGTGTTTGAGCTGGCCGGCGGGGTAGTGCCGCTGAGGGAGAAGTCGCTGCGGCTGACGGCATATCTGGAGGGCTTGCTCGATGGGCTGCCGGAGGATGTGCAGGCGTTGTTCAGGATCATCACCCCGCGGGAGCCCGAGGCGAGGGGTGCGCAGCTGAGTCTGATGCTTGCGGATGGACTGCTGGACGGGGTGATGGAGTACTTCGAGGAAGAGGGGGTCATCATTGACGAGAGGAAGCCGAATGTCGTGCGGGTTGCACCGGCGCCTTTGTATAATAACTTTGTGGACTGCTTCGATTTTGTCGAGCAGTTTGCAAAGGCTCTGAGGAAGGCAAGCAAGAGTTCGTAGAGTTGGAAAGTGAATCAAAGAGTAATGTAAACGATTGCGTTGCAATTTTAACTCCGTTTTGACTCTGTCTAGCTGGCGTTGATTTCTATTTCCCAGTGAATGGCAAAACTGACATTATCAGGAGGGTAATCAATGCAGCGAGGAGCGTACCATGAGCTGGACTAAGTACAAGGTCGACATCTGATCGATGGTCTTGAATATCACATTCGGTTCTCGAGATAGCCTAGCTCACCTGGAGCGATCCAAAGTCTGGAGCTTGAATCTTAATCATCACTCTCTGTCTATAGCGGAATCTTCGATAAAGGAGACGTCACGTCGAGTATGTTGTTCAGACCGGAGAAGGTTGGTTCAAGCATCAAGATGGATACATACCAGCAGCAGAAAGAGGAACTGAAATCAAGTCGCTTTGCACTCGATACCACCAGGATTACCAAAAGCTCAGCTAAACATGATTACCTTTATCATCGTCGTTATCTTCGTCGTCGTCGTCACCGTCGTCACCGTTGTTGTCGTCGTTACTACTCTTCTGCTTACTATTATTTTCGTTGTTATTCTCATCATTATTGTCATCTTCACACTTTTTTATACCAATATACCATCATTACTATCCGCGCAAATAGCAAAAGTCTATGCGAAAATTGATGATAAAACCGAGTGTAGAGGCCAAATCCAGGACTCTGTCTTAATTGAGACTCAACACAGGCCCAAATTCTGGTCTTGTGAGAGCCAAATGCTTCTCCATCTGCACCGCGCCAAGATAGGTCCTCCCGAGGACCCTTGATCTGAAGATCGCTCTTGGCTCGCGGCATCGGCATCCGAACATTGCAGGATGTATGCAGGTCGGACTGATGTTCGGCAACATCACTTACGTCGTCGCAAGACGTGTGTCACAGAAATGCGGGAATGAAGCCTGCGGCGCAGGAGATGCTGCAGAGTCGTTTGAGCGACGTCTTCTATGACAACAGGATGCAGAAGAACAATAAGCTGAGATGTTTGGGGTGATGGATGGGGATGTATCTCTCGACACGGTGGTTTCCGTCACTGTTTGATATGCGCAGGAGTTTACGGAACAAGTTATGTCTGGGGCAAGTTCGTCGTCACAATATGTCGTCAGTCTATAATTGAGACCTGGGAATATGACGATGACTTGGGACGGGGCGGTTCGTCCAGACTATCCGGATGGTTCATCGTGAAGTGCATCTTCAAGGCTCGGCTTTGTCATTTTCTTCTCTTGAACGCCATCATGATGTTGGTCTCAGTTGCTCGTCATTACTTCAAATACCTGGAGATCATTGAAGGGTTCAAGAGCGAATCTGTGGCAAGGCTCAAGCTGTCATATCAAATGCTTCTCGTTCTCCAGGCCAGGGAGTTGCGCTTCTGCTTTGAACCGTACGTGTTTAAGACCGGTTTGACATCGTTCTCAAGCCTCGAAGAACCGCCTGTAGCGCTATCTTATCATTCCATCCAGCATCATGACAGGTCCATGGGCAGCTCGCATGGAGTTAAACACGTTTGCTCTTCAACAATAAATCGCATGTTACGGGACCGACAATTTCGAAGTAGGGTTTTTTCTCCCTGCTACAATACAGGCAATTCGCCGCAAGGCTGCAAGGAGCTGTCTCGGCACCGAGAGACAGGTCCCAGGGAGAAACATGACACCATTCCTGCGCCCTAAGAGGCAGAACCAGAACCCTACCCCCAAACGTGCTGACTGACCACCCCCGGTAAGACAACACATGCATAAATGAGTCGAGTCTTATCGCGAACTTGGCACTCCCGCAAGGGCATCAAAAACACCCGCAACAGCCCTTTCGGATGATCTGTCTCGAGCATCCGAAGATGGAAAAGCTGTCTTGAGCCTCTCTCAGATCGTGATGACCCTCAAAGCTGGACACAGCTCGGTTGTGCGGGCGGATTATCTGCATTTTCGATGAATCATGGCGGCCTCGATCATCGCATCTACAAAGACCGAGTATCAGATGGCCGATTGCCTCTTGCCCTCCAATGTTTTTACCTTGCTGCACGGGGGCCGTGGGGGTTTGGAAGTTTGGGGAGAAGGGGAACGAGCGTGAGAGAGTTGCGATTTCCGGGTCCTCGGTCCCGAGAGAGCTGGGTTTCAGATGATGAGGCTCTTGGGGAAGGTTTGGGGTCCGCTGCCGCGGTAGGGCAATTGACTTTCGCCTGCGAATCGAGAAAAAAACAACATTTGGGAGCTTTGGGCTTGAGCCTTTTTTTTTTTTTTTTTTTTTTTTTTCTTTTTTCTTCTCTCCCTGATTTTCCTTCGCGCTCCCTGCCATAGGAAGCTTCCGGGCGATGGCAAGGACATGTCCCTGCGTGGGGTCATCAGCAGTTCAAGCACAGCGCCTCCTGGAGTTGGGGGCAGAAGTCTGTTTGGCCACTCGGTCGTAGTAATCGTAGTAAGCTGACTGGGTTTAGCCGCGCGGCCGCCAAATGACGTTTTGAAGTCTTTGTGTGCGGTTGAGAGGCAACGACACGGTCTGGGAACAAAATCTGAAAACAGCATTGCGTGGAATGCGGGTGTGATTCTGGAATGGGTTCCTGCGAAAGAGGATGGCACGTTGTGGTCATTACCGAGGATTCTTTTCCGTCAGGGAAATCATCCCGACGATTGTTTTGCTTGGCAGGAGAAGGGGGGATACGCGAGCTGATAGGATGAGGAAGCCATGGTAAGCGCCATCGACGCCATCAAGTCGGGCTTGTTGTTGCTGGAAGCGACGGCGTCGTTTGCAGCTTGTGGTGGGGCAAGGAGTCAGAAGCTTGGGGAGCTTGCACCTGGGGAGAGCTGGGAGCTGGAGCGTTTTGGCTTGAGCCCAGACGTAACGGGCCAGCCGCTCTGACGCGAGGTCTGGACACATTGGTGATGGCGCAACTTGATCGTTGCTGGGGGTGGCTGCGTTGGTGTTGTGTTGTCGAAGCACATCACAAACACACGGAAGGGTCTATTCTCCATGCGAAAAAGAAGAAGCAAAGGGTTCAAACGTGGGAGGAGGCAACCGAGGAGACATCTCGATGACCGCAAACGTCGACGGGATGAGGCCGTGGCAGAGGATCTGCGTCAGGGTCGATACTCGATCCGTGTGTTCCAGAGGAGGTTTTCCCATTGCAGGTTTGCAGGTGTCCATTTGGTCTCCAGTATTGAGAGTTCCAGTGGGGGCCGGCATTGGTCCCCGGAGCCAGTCCAGTGGGAGAATGGCGATGGGTGGCATGACGGAGGATCGTGATGTCTCCGTCATGCATATGAATTGTTTAGATGAATCCGGATGATAATATATGATGGGCTATGCGTGTGCGGAAGTGGGAGGACGGAAGTTGCGACGAAGGTGGGCGGGAGATGTTTAGTCACCGGAATAGGGGGATACTCGTCAACACACACGGCCCTTTGCGAGATGGGAAGTATCCCGTTATAACACTCCTCTAACGAAGGACGGGAGCTTTTCCATCTTCAGGTAGTGAATCTTTCTTCCCTTCTAACTTTTCTTCTTCGCAGTTTGCCGCCTAGAGGCACACCTTATTAACTACTATGTAACTCTAATAGGGAAATATATAGAGGGTTATAGCGTAACCTCTATAACTAGCCTATAGGGTATATAAAAAGAATTTTTAAACTACTTAGCTAAATAGAAGTAGCTCCTTATTATACTATAGCTTAAATTTAAAACCTTCTAAAATAAATCTTATATATACCTCTTACTTAATTAATATAGCTTTTACTACTAGTAATATTAAATATCTAAAAAAAACTAATTTACTATATATTTAATAATAGCTTAGTTATATCTTTACAGCTAAGAATAATAATATAGTATCTCTATACTTCTTCATAATATATATTAAGTTCTTAAAAAACCCTTAGAACTAAGTTCTTTATTAAGTTAAATAGAGATTTAAAGAAATTACTAAAAACTTGAAAAATAAGAATAATATAAAGGAGATTAATAGGATATTTAATAAGAAATATAGCGAATAGTTCTAAGAACTGATTACTATTATTACCCTTATTTAAGGATATAGTAGTTAAAGAGACTAGCCTAGGTTAGGGTAGAGGAAAAAAGGGTTCTTATATTCCCTTTAGTTATATAAAAATTCACAAAAGAATTCTTCACAAAATGCTTCAGGTAGTGAAAGCCCAGGCTGGCCAATGCAAGAAGCCGTTTTTCCAAGTGGACAGGGCCGGGCCCGAGAGCTTAATGCCCCTCCCAACCAACCCAACCAAGGAACCAAAGGCCAGAACTCAACAGGCCCCCTTCTTTTTAACATTAGGAGGTATGACGCAGGCCAGGGAATATGACTAAAGACCCGGACCCCGATAACGGTGCTACATTAAGACATTGCGGACGGGCAGCGCAACATCTAGGAGAAGGGGGGACAGGAGGGGCACCAGAAGAAAAGAAGAAGAAGAAAAAAAAAAAAAGGAGAGGGTACGATGGGGAGGGGCTCGGAGACAGCTCCTGAATGCTTGTCCAAGTCATGATACCTCATAGAGTAGCATCTGGCTAGAAGACTATGGTATCCTGCGAAATGACTGGCTGAGGGCCCAAACTGCACATGCTGAGGAACTGCGGTATGATATTGGTATGTAACTGGTAACTGGACACTGGACATCAGCAGAAAAAGCCGGCAGGCCCCTTGTCGAAGCCCAGTTGTTTCAAGTCCATCCCCCCTGGCCAAACATCGTGCAGGGAATCTCCAAAGACCAATTTGATCATCATCCACTTCGCTGGGCTTGGGCCGAGAGCGAGCGAGCGAGCGAGTGAGCCTGAGAGCCAAGGAGAAGACGATGAGGAAGGCAGAAACAAGAACGAGAGATGCAGTTACGAATACTCTGTCCGGGATGAGATGCTCAGTGCTGGAAAAGGCGAGAGAGACACGCAGTTGGGCTGACGCATCATTCCCCTGAAAAGTGACATGCCAAACAACACCACACACACCACACGACACAGCATTTTGGGGGCTGCATGTGTGCCTGAAATTGGGTATGCACAGCGTCTGCACCTTCGTACTCCTGCTGCAATAACTGCATCTGCTTCTGCAACTACGACCAAGGAAAAAGCAAGCACGTTTCCTTGCCTAGGTAATGACTGAGAGTTGAGTACGGAGGATACCTGACGCTGCTTCTGACCACCTACGGCTGTTGTATCCGAACCTTGGTCCAATCTCTCCCGTCTCCTGCAGTAGCTCTTTCTTTCACATTATTAGGTAGATTGGATTTTTTGTTCGTCTTGACATCGGGAGCATAGCAAAGGGGTCCTGGCCAAATTTTTTTTTTCCTCCTTCGTGCCGCCTTCGTCATATTATTCACCAGGCGCACAAACACACAACTTTTTGGGCAGATCCCTCCTACAAACAACTACCTCACTCCAAACCCGCCTCCACGTCTACCTCTCGCCTGTCCTTCCGTTTCCTTCCTCCTTCTCATTTTTTCGCCAATACCTTACCCGGACCAACTCTTGGGCCATCCTTGATGAGAGCCTCATAATTTTCTGTCGCAATTGACGATCCCAACCACTCTCCCCCGCCCTTGTTCGTCGCTCTTTACCAACTTCATCCCGCTACTTTTCTTCTCTGCCACCGTTACCGTACCGCACCGTACGCTACGGATACCCAACCTTCTTCGCCTTACTCGCCGGGCTCGCCTCACCTCGCCTCAGCGCCTCCTTCACCAGTGCGCCGTTCCCTGTTCTATTCATAGCCCGGCTCTTTACCAGCCCAGCCTGGCGAGCCATTCAAACCAACCCCCTCCTCTGTCGACACCAAGCATCGCCGTCCTGGACTGACCTGACAACGGTCTGGCTGCAACCGACGCACCACGCGACACACGGCCACCAACAACTGCATCTGCTACTCCTCCGCGCATCTGCGTTTTCCCTCGCCTGATTACGGATCCTGTACTTGACAACAAACACCTCGCGCAATTGATCGAATCCGTACCCAATTTATCCAGACAAGCGACATCCCTCCCCGAGTCTCTTCAATCGCAACGCCGACGCCCGGCCTAATCAACCACCACCCACCCGGGACGACACACCCTGGCCGCCCCGACGACAATCTCGCGCCGCTAGAACCAGAACCTGGCCGCCCTTTTTTTCAGCCGACGAAACAGCGGAGTCGCAATTTCACCCCCCGTCGACGCCCACCAAGCACCAAACAGCCAGCTCCAAGCCTCTGGTCGTCTCCAGTTCAGCGCAGCGACATTCTCTCCCATCGTTGGTCGCTGCTGCGTCTCCCTCTCCGTCTCCGTCTCCAGACCACCCTCGCCCGTGTCTTGGCATTCTGTCCAACGCCCCGGCTTTTCCTCACCCTCGCTCCATGATAGTAGTACTATCCGTACCGCCCCTACGTCGTCTACCAGGGTCTCATTCTGCCATTCTGACGGGCCCAAGGGGGTTGGCGGCCAAGCGCTGAGAAAAATACGGATAATCCAGAGGAAACTGTGACGACGCACGCCTGCACGACACGAATATTCTCTGTACCACCAATACTACGACACGAACCCCCAAGTCCCTGACGCTCAGGAGACATCTCGTCACAACAGCCACAATTCGAACATCTCCGACCCTCTCGGCTGGCTCCTCTGCTGGCCCACGACCTTAATCCAACATGACAAGACCTCACATTATTCGCGCTGGTAAGTTTATGCGACCCAAAACACCCGCGCCTACTCCCATTCCTCCTGGCGCATCACACTATTCTCCCCCCAAAACACAAACTTCTTCCCCTTTCCCAATTGGCCCTGGGCTTCTCTGTGTCTGAGCTTAGCCTGAACCCGTCTTGGTCTAACGGCTGGAACCGCGGCCGATCAATCTCACAGAATTCCTTCCCCCCCCCCCCCTCTGACCAGGAAAAAAAACAACCCCTAATTGCCTGCTCCGTTGCTGGCATGTCACGCTGACCTCTTGCCTCTTTTGTCGCAAAATTAGACACGATCGACCTCCAAGATCACGACGCACCCTCAGCAAAAGATCATCCCCGAGGCCCACACGGCTCGCTTGGTCCGCATCAGGCTGCGACTCTCCAAGAGATCGCCCAAGAATCCGCCGAAATACAAGCGCGCAGCCCGAGACTCTCCTTCACAGACGGCGACGACGACGACGTATCGGATTCAGACGATCTCGCGGACGAGGTCTCCAAACGGCTCAACGGCGGCGCGATGGACGATGCAAGCAAGAAACACCAAGATGCGCTGGCCATCGCGCAAAATGGAGGCACATCGGGCAACTCCGACGACGGAGACATGGACGACACGGACGAGAGCTTGGACGACGACATGATGGACAAGATCTCTAGTTCGCCTTCGATTGAAGATGGTGGGTGCAATTCGATTACAATTCCACATTCCTGGCCACGGAGAGTCGATTCTCTGCAAGCCATGAGAGATCGCGCTTCTCCTGTCTCCCCTGCTTTCAGCGAGGCCATGTCCTCTTCTCCTTACACCGAAACTCCTGAATATCCACCTACACAACACTCCTGGCAGCACAGCAAGGCTTCTGCGTCAGCAACCAGTCATCATCATCTTCGCGGTGAGTATAACGAATAGGACCGATATACCGACGACGACGATCGATACGATCAGTTCTTCGACGAGCTTTACGAGGAGTTATGCGACGATGCTGGCGGTAGTCTCTTTTACGGAAAAGATTGGGTGGAGGAGCGGAGCGACAAGTTTGAGGATAAGTTTGGACTGGAGAGTGTAGCACAGCATGGGCCGATAGTGGTTCGTCCACTTCGACTCCGCGGATCTAGCTCCGAGGATTTCGCGCAGCGTCGCGCTGAGATGGAGCGGGCAGAATGGGACGAGGCGGCCGAAGCAAACCTTGACGACGAACACGACGAACACGACAGCGATTTTTCGCTCATGATACCCTACGAACCCTCGATCGAAGATGATGATGATGACGAATTTTCCTTCTCTGATGACTCTAGGTTCATTGCTGGTGGCTGGGGCAACGAGTGCTTACACGAAGCAGAGGACATCGATTTCGAATTTGTCTACGCCCTCCACACCTTTGTCGCGACCGTCGAAGGCCAAGCGAATGCCACGAAGGGAGATACCATGGTGCTACTAGATGACAGCAACAGCTATTGGTGGCTGGTGCGAGTGGTGAAGGACAGCAGCATCGGTACGACCCCCGCGTCCCTTGCGTCAGCATTTCTAACAAAGGTCTAGGTTATCTCCCGGCAGAGCATATTGAGACGCCAACCGAGAGACTGGCGCGCTTGAACAAGCACAGGAATATTGACGTAGTCGCTCCCTCCCAGGAAGAGATGAACCTATCTGACTTAGATCAGCTTTCCGCTACAATGCTTGGAGACCAGGCTGGAGAGAAGTCCAAGAGCACGTTCAAGACGGCTCTGAGGAAGAAGAAGAAGACCGTCGCGTTTGCACCACCGACGTTTGTCGACTACTCGGACATTGACTATTCTTCGGATGAAGAGGATATGGAGGAGATGTTCTCTCAGCAGCAGGGACAGCAGCAACAGCAACAGCAGCAACAGGCTGCCACCCAGCAGTCAACTGAGGAGGCGGAAGATGAGACGGCGAAGGTCGAGCCACTGAAGCCCAGGACGATCAAGGAAGTCAAGGTTGCGGAGCCGGCCAAGAAAGAGGAGGTTGCAGAAGACGACGGGAAGCGTGACAGCGGAGAGATATTTGAGAAGCCAGAGGGCCCGAGTCGATCGAGGAACGGCACTGTCAGGAACACCGACTCTTTCTTTAAGGACGAAACGGTCGAGACCAAGAAGATCACGCTTACGCCTAACTTGCTTCGCGATGACAACAGCTCACGACCCTCGACGACGGAAAGTGTTAAGCAACGACCCAGTCTGGACAAGTTGGACAAGGAGCTGCAACCCGACAAGAAGGATGACAAGAAGAAGAAGGATAAGGATAAGAAGGAGAAGGACAAGAAGCCCAGCGCCATCCGGAGCTTCTTCTCGCGTAAGGACAAGAAGAAGGTTGTGGACGATGACGACGAGTCCTTTGGCAAGAGGTCGATGGATATTGTTACCGAATCACAAGACCGGGAGTCTGAGGAGCAGCCGTCGTCGCCGAGAACAAGCGGCGGATCTTCAGGCGGGCCCGAACGGACAGCAAGCAAGCTCACGAAGCAACAGCCTAGGGTGGAGCCATCACTGTCGAGGAAGGGGGCAACAACGCCACAAAAGTCTGCTACCCGTGAACTTAGCGAGTTCATCTCTTCTGAAGGCCGACCCAACAACGTGTCGAATGTGCCGCCAGCCTCTATGCGTATCGTCGAGGACGATTCTTCCGATGCCGACGCCGAACCGAAGAAGGCCGAGACCAAGCACTCGCAAAAGTCGTCCTTGTCCAAGATCATGCCTTCGAGAAGCAGCGAGCCCAAGGAGCCGAAACCCCAAAAGGTTACGAAGGCTAAGTCGCGTGTGGAACTCGACGATTTCGACTCATCTGGCGAAGAGATTGACCCCAGTGGTCCCTCTGTGCAACAACCAGTTGAGGAGGAGCCGAAGGACGAGAAGCTGGTCCGCCCGGTGCCAGGTGCTTTCCCCGATAGCTACATGAGCGGTCAAAGCGCCCAGACCGACAGGACAATCACTCCTTCGCAGCCTATGCCCCAACCCCAGCCCACCGCTGCGGATCGGGAGAAGGATCGCCTCTCCGAGTCGCCGGTTCAAGTCTCTCCAGTTACGACGAGCAACCCGCCTGCGCTCATGGTCGACACCTCCAGTCAGGATGGCCACTCCTCATCGCCATCGCCAGAGCTCATCGATGCCGATGAGGTGGGCAGACATCGCGCTCAGGATTCGATGACTGCCAGCTCAACCTCAACAGGAGGGAGCACCACGGGCAGTAGCTGGAACGACGCGAAGCTCCGAGCATTCTTCGACTCCAGCTCAGACATCCGTGACATGCTGGTCGTTGTGTACGACAAGAGCGATGTTGCTCCCGCAGGACCGGATCATCCCGTCGCAGGAAGCTTGTTCCGCGAACAGAACGCCAAGTTGGCAGAAATCACTACAGTAAGTGCATCTATCCATTTTTGGTGATGCGTCACGACTAACCAGGCCCAGCAACTTGACAACATGCTTGGCGACTGGCTAGCACGCAAGCAAAGACTTCGAGGCACGGTCTAAGGCGTGCCTCCCTTTACGAACATCAACTTTGTTTTTGGGGACAGCGAAATGTGTACAGTACCTTTCTTGACTTTGTTGGCGTCCTGGAACGAAACGGATGGAGGGTTTACGGATTGATGGACGACATTGAAAAACGTGGTCGCTGATATGAACCTTAGCACCATGGATACTTGTGCGCGGATTTGCAGTTTTCTGTTTTTTCTTTTTTTCGACATGCGTGGACATACCAGTCTGCACGGTTTGTTCCTACCTCGTTCTTTTTTATTCTCTTTTGTTTAGAAACGCTTCGCTTCCACAGCGTCGCGACATAAGCATCAGCTTTGCATAAGTGTCTTCAGCCCGCTGGTGTGGGCTCCGAGAGACAGATTAGGCGCAACGCCGTCTAATACCACTTGGTTCCATCTGCAGATCCGATGACTTGCATGCTGTGCTGAACCGCTTCATGTGACTTTCGCTGCTGATCGGCACAACTTATTGTTGGAGATGAATCACCAGACGCATGTCGAGTTCCATTCCGAGTAAAACATGCAGTTGCGTGTGGTGGAACCCGACAGCAATATCCGCAGGTGATCTGCGGGATGCCGGGTTGGTGGAGTTAGCCTCCGCCCAACTGCCGGCGCGCAAATCGTCCGATCTGGGGAAGCCGGGACCCCTCATTCCCGCCCTTGCCGTTTCCCTCTCCTCTCCCCTCCGTCGCCTTTAAATACCGCCCATCCACCGGTAAGTGAGTCTGTGTACTGATCTGAGTACCTTAATTTTAGTGCCTGATTCTGACCAACGACGATACTCTTGGACCTGCGTCAGTGAGATCCAATGGCCAGCCTCCTCACGAACATCCTCGCCTTCATCACTGGCCAATGGAGCCTCATCTCCCCGGACTGGAGGGACCCCGCCTCCCACGATCCCAGCTGGTACCGGTACGTCCGCGCCAGTAAGTCCAAGACGATCTTCCCGGCGCGGGTTCTGCCAGATCTCACGCGCGGGGACGTCGCGAACCCCTCGGGGCTGGTCACCGGCGAAGGCGGGCCGACGATCCTCACCCGGCTCTCCGAGTCTGATGAGATTCCGTCCGTGACGGTGGACTTTGGACAGAACACCGTCGGCATCGTCTCCATCTCCTTTGCCGGGTCTGAAACGCCGGACGGGGCGGGTGACGCCGCAAGGCCCGGGATCCGGCTGGCGTTCTCCGAGACACTGCAGTTCCTCAGCAACGTGAGCGACTTCTCGCGGTCGTATAACGGGGACACGATCACGCCCGGCAGCGAGCAGATTGCAGTCCGCAGCGAGCCGTACGTCTGGACCGCGCAGCACGGGTGCCAGTACCCGGGCGACGGCGGCGGCAAGGGCAAGGTCTGCGTGGACGGGCTGCACGGGTTCCGGTACCTGCGGATCTACCTGGACGCGCTGCCGTCGGACGCGCCGTACACGGCGCCGCGCGGGCAGGTGAAGATCGCGTCGGTGAGCCTGGCGCTGTCGGCGTTCCACGGGACGCCGGAGACGTTCCGGGGGTGGTTCGAGTGCAGCGACCGCGAGCTGACACGGTGGTGGTTCGACGGGGTGTACACGAACGACCTGTGCATCGACACGTTCCGGGCGGAGGACATTGAGCCGCGGGACGCGGACAGCGAGTTCCTGGAGGGCCGGCTGGTGATCCACGACGCGCCGAAGCGGGACCGGGACCCGTATGTTGGGGACCTGGCTGTGGCGGCGCTGACTGCGTTTCTGTCGCACGGGGGCCTGGTGGCGGAGGCGAGCGGGAATGTGTTGGCGGATCTGGCGAGGCGGCAGAGGGCGGATGGGTGGATTCCGCCGGCGAGCATGTGAGTTTGGGGGTTGTGTTTGACGTGGAGGAGAGGGTTTGCTGACGGTTTGCAGAAACAATTACACGCTTCCGCTGTTTGATTACCCCCTTTGGTGGGTTGTCTGCAGCCACGACTATGTGTGGTACACCGGCGATATGGGCTATCTCGAGACGTACTACCAGAATCTGCTGGCTGTGATGGACCAGTGGTATCCCTCCATTACGAACCCGGAGACGGGTCTGGTCACGAAAGGGCTGAACGGGACGGGCGGGTACGGCGACTACGCTTTCCTCCCAAGGCAGGGGCCGGTAACGTATTACAATGCTCTGTACGTGCTTGCCCTGCGGCGGGCGGCGGAGATGGCGGCGCAGCTTGGGAAGACGGCGGACCAAGAGAGGTGGAACTCGCGCGGGGACGACGTTGCCAAAGCGCTGGCCCAGAGGAACTTTGACCAGAGCGTCGGCGCATTCTACGACGGCACGACGGGGGCGGACTCGGACTCGTACGTGGCCGCGCACGCGCAGGACGGCAACAGCATCGCCATCCTCGCCGACGTCGTGTCCGGGGACAAGGCCAAGGGCGTGCTGGCGTACTACGCCAGCGCGGCGTCGCGGGCGTACGGCAACGCGTTCTACGACTCGGACGCCGTGGGCCAGGGGTTCAGCCAGCGGGTGTACGCGTTCGTCTCCTACTTTGAGCTCGCGGCGCGGCTGAAGGTCGACGACGGGGACGGCACGGCGGAGGGCGCGGTGGAGGAGATGAAGCGGCTGTACGGGTGGATGGGCGGGCAGGACCCCGGGGTGACGTTCTGGGAGGGCATCGGGCCGGGCGGCAGGCCGTATGAGGACGGGTACACGAGCATGGCGCACGGGTGGAGCACGGGGATCGTGCCGCTGATGAGCTCGTATGTGCTCGGGGTGAGACCGACGAGTCCCGGGTTCAAGACGTGGAGTGTGATGCCGGTGAGGGCTGGGTTGAGGTGGGCGAGGGGTGTTGTGCCGACGCCTGAGGGGCAGGGGGTTGGGGTCGAGTGGGTTGATGAGGGCGGAGGAAGGTTCAATATTGCTGTTCTTGCGGAGAGGGGGACCAAGGGGGTTGTTGGTGTGCCGTTTGAGGAGGGGATGGTGGTTGAGGTTGATGAGCGGGTTGTGTTTAGTGGGAGAGTGAAGGAGGGGAGAGTTGAGGGCAAGAGGGTGGTGGTTGACGTCGAGGGGAAGGGATGGGAGACCAGGACGGTCGTGACAGTAACAGCACTTTCAGAGGGGCTTTAGGTAGTAATTTCCTTACGGGTGCAAACTACCTCAGTGTCTATAGCTTCGACTGTCTAGTAAGGTTTACATGAATGGCTTTAATGTTTGAATAGGCAGCAAGACCGGCCTCGCCCAATTCCCTGCCGATTCCGCTTTGCTTCACACCACCAAACGGAATGCGCCAGTCGCTGTCGTTGCTTGAATTGATCCACACCATGCCAGCCTCGATTCTCTTGGCCACGGCATGGGCACGGGTCAGATCTGTGGTGAATAAGGCGCTTCCGAGGCCGTACTGCGTATCGTTGGCGAGAGCGATGGCATCATCCTCCGACTTGAATCGGCAGATGACGACAAACGGGCCGAAGACCTCCTCTTTGAAGACTCTCATATTAGGTGATACCCCGGTGAATACCGTGGGTTCGATGAAGTACCCGCTACCATCAGGCTTGGACGGCCGGCCTCCCAGCTCAAGCTTCGCACCCTCTTGCTTGCCGATGTCGACGTAGGAGAGGATCCTGTCGAATTGTGCCTTTGTGACTTGGGGTCCTTGGAAAGTGCTTTCTTCGAAGGGATCGCCGACTCTGGAGACCTTTTTCACTTGTTCTCTGAACGCTGCCAGGAATTTGTCGTACACGGCGTCCTGAACCAAGATCCTCGACGTTGCGGTGCAAATTTGACCCTGGTTGGACATAATACCGGCGTGGGCCCAGTGGACGGCGACGTCCAAGTCAGCGTCATCAAACACGATGAGAGGGCTCTTTCCGCCCGTCTCGAGCGTAATGTTCTTCAGGTTGTGGCTTGCCATCTTCATGATTTCCTTGGCTATGTTGGTAGAACCGGTGAATGCGATCTTGTCGACGTCCAAATGGGACGCGAGAGCTGCGCCTGCGACGGCTCCGAGGCCATTTACGATATTGACCACGCCCGGCGGGAAGCCTGCCTCGATCACGAGGTTGGCAAAGTACAAGATGGAGAGAGGGGTCTGCTCTGCCGGCTTGAGGACGACCGTGTTGCCGCAGGCCAGGGCTGGGCCCAACTTCCATGCGGCCATCGCGAGGGGGTAGTTCCAGCTGTGGGGAATAGTCATCAGCCATTTGCTTTTAGGATGATCCCTTGAAATATCTTAGGGTCAGAAAGGGGAGAGAGGAGTTCTTACGGAATGATTTGGCCACAAACTCCAATAGGCTCGCGGACAGTGTAGGCGAACTTCTCGGGCGTCGTCTCAATCACCTGCCCAAACACCTTGTCGGCAAAGCCGCTGTAGTATCTCAGCGTCTCGATGGCCTCGGTGAGATCCTCGTTGAGCGAGACCAGGTACGGCTTGCCGTTGTCCCACGTCTCGATCGTGGCCAGCGTCTCGCGGTGCTGCTCCATCAGATCGGCGAGGCGCGCCATGAGCTTGCCGCGATCTGAGGCGGGCAGGTCTCGCCAGCTCGGGTGGTTGAGCGCTTTCCGCGCTGCTTGCACGGCTCTATCGACATCTTGGCTCGTTGCGGCGTGGACGGATGTGATTTCTCGCTCGTTTCTGTGCCGAATGTGTTAGTCGAAAGGATGAAAGGGCTTCTTGGTGGCTGAGAGCATCTTACGTAGGGTTGATACTGGCTATCTTTCCGCCGTCAGAAGACTCAACCCATTGGTTGTTGATGAACAGTCCTGTTGGTTGGAGGTAGGTTCTCCCATTGGGGGCAGTGAGCTTAACGGAAGCCATAATGTGTGTGGTGGTAGATGCGATACAAGAGATCCGAGTAAGTCTGTCCCCAAGAAATAAACGAGCTGCCTCGGGACCGTGCAATTGACTTTGATACTGCTCACAACACAATGCACAGCTTTCAATGCCGGCTCCCTGGACTCTAGATTGGCGCTGTTGGTCACCCACAAAGTCACACATTGCATGTCACAACCTCATCCACGAGGAGGGGCAGCCCGGCCCGGTATCTATCCCACCGGCGCGGAGGGTAATGAGTTTGGCGCCTGCAGAAAGCTCTGAAATAGAGTATCAAGACACATTTCGGTCTATCGTACTCGGAGCGAAGAACGTATTTTGGTGCAGGTACTTCTCGATGGTTAGTGGTGCCCGGTGAATTAGCGTTTATCATGATGAAATAGGAAAGAAATTTGGCCAGACTGTAACCTTGAAACCTGCCGTCCTTCACGACTCCACCTTCCAGGGTTCTAGCTCTAGCTCACCGAAGCTCGGCCGACGTGGGCAAGGATTCTGCTGCCGCACAACCGCTTTGACAAGCAGACGGCGCGATGCTGAAAAGGGAAAGAATTTGGGCCAAACTCGAGTTGCGTCCAATGTCCCCAATCTCTCCGCACGAGATCGACTTTTCCCACTTTCCGGCTAACATCCCGCGGCAAACGACTTATCCACCCCCAACTGCGAACCAACAGTGCAGCTGTGAGGAGTCCCATCCAGCTCTCAGGAGCTTCCACAGTGCTGATACAAGCTTTTCTGGTGGAGACCGCCCAATTTTCCTGTATCTGCGCGGCTATATTTCCTGTGTACTTGCTTACTCTTGTTACAGATAATAGTAGCGACGACGACGAAGACGACGATAACGATAGAAGCGACAATAACAGAAGCGACGACGATAGAAGTAACGACGACGACGGTAAAGTAGAGCATAGCCACAGGAAAACTAGCCGGCCGCTTCGTGAATACGAAAGAGGAGTTTGGGTAAAGGATCTGGTGGAGACGTAGTTTTGATCTGTGAATACCCTCGAGGCACAATATGCCCAAGGCTTTTTGCAAGATAACAAAGACAGAACATCCAGAGTACAGCGAGCAAAATGATCCTGAGCTTCACAGATGATGCTTCCTTACAAACCACAAGCTCAATATCAGGGGTCAAATCAATATTCGGTGTCAGAAAGACTGCTTCAGTCCAATCACACATACAATGCGAGCAGCTTCGGTTTCATTCTCTCTTAATTCCAGTGATCTATCCGTATTCTTGTATCATGGTTTTCCATTAATATTTCAGCGTGAAAACTACAGCTCTTCTGCCTTATCGGGTCACCCATGCAAAGCGGAGCTGCCATGTGGGTACAAAGGGGAAATCACTATCAGTTCGTCCAACTAACTCACTTGGCTCTGGTGTGGTTAGGCTGAACTGCCTGTTGTAGTCGACGTCCGGGCCGGGCTAATAACGTAACTGACTCGACACGACTGGCTCTCCCAAATCCGCGGTTCTACCCCACGATTTGAAACTGTCAACTCTTCCAACTCGTACGTAATGAGATCCAGCCCATGCTATCTGCAAAATCCGGGGTACCAACGTCATCTTGTGATGCAGTTTTCACGACGGGAGGACTACCGACGCAGTAACGGAAATGCAGGAATGAATATCTTAGGCAGGTATCGACGAGCAAAGACAGCATACCCCGCCGACCGCCGACCGGGCCGTGACCATGATGTGTGGGAGATGATGCCCAATGACTCGTCTCGACACATGATCAGCAGGGACAGAACGAGACTTGACAATATGAGCAACAGTTCCGATACATCCTGAGTAAACCGCATCGAGTTTTAGGAGCTACGACACCAGCGAGCAAAAGCTGAAGAATACATGCGGCTTTTAATGAAATTGGAACCAGCTTCTTGATACGTTGCCACACTGAGCGGCTTATCAGTGAATGCCACGCCCCGGGGGGAACATCGGTCATTGCGCATCCATTCCTTGTTCCCGTCCCATCCTTGCAGTTGATATAAAAACTATTGAACACCAACACGCACCCTCCCATCTCAGAATCATCAACCAGCATACCTCTCTCGTTGCAGAACACAGTTGCGAATGTTATCCCACAAACGTTTTCCAATCACCCCGAAAATCCCCCCTATCGAAAGAAGTTATGGATAACGACCCCGAATCGAACCCGCCGCTGAAGCACCTACACACCACAGACCAGGCCGCCCAAGATGCGCAGGACCTCGCCTACCTCGGCCACGACCAGGCCCTCTCGCGGAAATTCAGCACCATGAGCATGCTCTTCCTCGCCATGTCCGTCCTCGGCACCTGGTCGACCTTTGCCCAGGGACTCTCGAGCGGTCTCACGAGCGGCGGGCCCATCGCCATCCTCTGGGGCCTCGTTCTCGTCACCTTCTGCAACATATGCGTCGCCGTGTCGCTGGGCGAGCTCTGTAGCAGCATGCCGACGGCCTTGGGACAGGCGTACTGGATTTTCCGCCTCTCGCCTGGCCCGATGGGCCGGTTCATGTCCTACCTCTGCGCCTGGATCAATACCTTTGGATGGTGGACACTGTCCGCCTCGCAGCTTGCCTTCATGACTAACTTTATTCTGAGCATGAAGGTCCTCTTCGTCAACGACTGGGCCGGAGCTGGTGTCGGATGGATCAATTTCCTGCTTTATATCGCCGTCACTCTGGTGGTAACGGTCGTCAACCTCATCGCTTGCCGGAGAGATGCCATCCTACCCGCCTTCAACAACTTCATTGGAATTTGCTTCATCGGGCTCTTTTTCGTTTTCAGTCTGGCGCTCCTAATTTCCGTGGGCGTGAAGCCGGATCTGCATTTTCAGCCTGCTTCGTTCGTTTTTGGACAATGGATCAACCAGACTGGCTGGGGAGACGGCGTTACCTGGTTCACCGGCCTCGTCCAGGCTGCATATGGGCTCACTGCCTTCGACTCAGCTGTCCATCTTGCCGAGGAAATCCCCGCACCTCGCAAGAACATTCCCCGCGTTATCTGGCTCTCGGTCGTCCTTGGAGCTATTACTGGGTTCATTTTCATGGTATGCTGTCTATTCAGCATCCAAGACCTTGATACCGTCTTGAATCCCGTCACCGGTCTGCCCTTCATGGACCTTTTGAATGAGGCTGTCGGGCTTCAAGGGGCTACAGTGCTTCTGTCTCTGTTCATCTTCAACGGCATGGGTCAGGCTGTCAGCATTGTTACGACCGCTTCCCGTCTGACTTGGGGCTTCGCCAGAGACGGCGGGATCCCATGGAGCCCCTATTTCTCCAAGGTCAACGAGGCCTGGAGGGTACCAGCACGCGCCTTGTGGCTACAGGGTGCCATCATCGGGCTCGTCGGCGTCCTCTATACGTTTGCCTCCACGGTGCTCGAGGCGATCCTGAGTGTCAGTACGATCGCCCTGACGGTCTCGTACGCGATGCCCATTATAACCGTTCTTCTCGTCGGCCGCGATAAGCTCCCGCCTGGAGAGTTCAGGCTGGGGCGGCTTGGCCCCGTCATCAACTGGATCTCGGTCATCTACTGCGCGATTACTACCGTCTTCTTCTTCTTTCCTTCAGAGCCTAGTCCAGCGCCGGCCGATATGAATTACGCGATCGCCGTGTTCGGAGTTATGATGGTGGTGACACTGGGTTTCTGGGTGGTCAAGGGGCGGTATACGTATCTGCAAACTGCGGATGCCGAGGTGCGGATCATTGAGGCGCAGAATGCCGAAGTTGCGACTTCTTCTGTTCCTCGTAAGAACTGATGGATCTTAGAGATACACGATCCTTCTTTAATTTTAGTCTTCACTCAATCAAATTCACCCGTGGTACCAATTCTGCTTGAATTCATCTGACCGATTGCCTACCATGGACGTGATGAAGTTCTAGATCTTGTAATCATTGCTGAACATGAAGATGTGAAAGATCTCAACTGAACAAATATCCCAATAGTCAAGCTACTCCATCCATGTCTAGAAGACATTGGCAACTCGGTTCCTCTCGACAGCAGGGGGCGGGCGCCCGTCCCGATGCCGCTCCGATGAAGGTGGGGACGTCGCCTGCGGGCTTGGCTCGGGGGCCCCCACCGTTCCGTTAGCGTGTCAGACTAAGATAAATACCCTGCCGAATCAGCCGCTTCTTCAGGGGATCTGCATGGTCGATTTTCTTTCCCAATGCAGCAGGTGCACCCGCCAATGAGCTTACACGACGAGACCGCCCTGTATCACTTCGCTCTTGTCTCGTGTCGTATCGCCCTTGATTGCATTCGCATTTTGGGCTGAAAAGCGGCCGGCAACACTGCCGGTTGACTCTCCGGTCCGGTTCTAGACTCCGAGCGCCGCTGCGCCGCTGCGTCGCTGCGCGGAGGCGCTGCAGCGCGAAGCCTGCAGGCACTAGATATCTCTTCTGAGGCGCGCTCCACCAGCAGAATGGAGCGGGGAGGGGCGGACAGCGCCGACCTCAGGTTTCCGTTCCGAGTGTTCGAGGTGTTGGTTCCGATGAGGAAACACGAGTCTGTCAAGACAATACGCTCTCATTTGGGGGCATTCGGGTTTCTAAACGCTCTCAACTTATTCCACTCATAAACAAGTCAATATTGCATACGTTTTAAAAGTCTTTTTCATGGCAGAAAGTCCTCGGACGCGGTGCGAATGTCACTCGGTGTGCCTGTGTGGGGGAAGTTGTACATGAGTCGCAGGGGTGGAGGCCGATGGGAGGCGGATGAGGGACCAGGGTTGATGGAGGAATAGAGCCAATGACGACTGGATCGCGGTGTAACAAGCGGTGATTCTAAGCTGAGATTGCCCAGTCGAGTTTATCTTACGTTTGATGTCAGAATAATCTCGACAGCTGCTGAGGCTAACCCTTGTACGATTGTTACCTATCCCCCGATATGCCGGCGTCACTTCCTGTCTATAAGTACAAGGTGCCCGCGATCGATCTTTCACGAACTCTCTTTATTCTCCCCAAGAATTCAAACAGACAAGTCGTTTGCCTTCTATACTCACCAACATTTTGTCTTACACTTAGACAGCTTCGAGCCTTCAGGCCTCACCTCATCTTATACCAACTATCCATCATCGACCTTAGGTCGAATTGCAAAGACCACCGTATGGCCGAGTACCTCAGCCCAGACAGCCCCCAATATGTTTGCAGACACCTCTTCGATAGCCGGCTACACGATCTTCCGGGAAGATCCCAACGACGCCGCTCCAGACGTATCCTCTCAGTCTTCATCACATCCTCTGGGTAGGTCTCCTAGCAATGAACCACGGTGTCAGACACTCGTTCGTCGTTCCCGAGCTAATTGTTGTCTTCATACAGATCAGCTATCGATTGAAGAGATTCAGCGCGCTGCTAAACTCATCAAAATCCATGCTGGCACCAAGGCCCTCAAGTTCAACTGTCTGACTCTGCGCGAACCCAAGAAGAATGAGTACGCTGCCTTCAAGTCCGGCAACGGTCCTCGTCCGGACCGCCGCGCCTTCGCCATCGTCATCGAAAAGGGCACTTCGCAGGTCTCCGAGGTCGTCGTCAACCTGAAGACCTCCAAGGTCGAGCTCTGGAAGGATATCTTCGACGCCGCCCCCACCCTCACCTTGGAGGACCTCGACATCTGCGAGTCCGTCACCCGACAGGATCCTCGCGTCATCCAGGCTTGCCGCGAAATCGGTATCTACGATATGTCGAAGGTCTTCATTGACGCGTGGGCCATTGGATTCGATCACCGCTGGGGCACTGATCGCCGTCTTCAGCAGGGAATCGTTTACTATCGCAATTCCCCTGATGATAACCAGTACGCCCACCCGCTTGACTTCTCAGTCGTCGTCGATACCGAAAAGGCTGAAGTCCTGGCTGTCGATATCCGACTCGTGAATGGCCAGCGGACCAAGGTCCCTCTGGAGGAGCATAACTATTTGCCCGAATTCATCGGCAAGGGTTACCAGAACAAGCTCAAGCCCATCGATATCACTCAGCCCCAGGGTGTCTCGTTCCAAGTTCATGGCAGCGAGCTGTTCTGGGCGGGACTGAAGATGCATGTTGGCTTCAACTACCGCGAGGGTATTGTTCTTTCTGACGTCCGCATTGACGACGAAGGGCGTGAGCGGAACCTGTTCAACCGCATCAGCGTGGTCGAGATGGTCGTTCCCTACGGAAACCCTGACCCTCCACACCACCGCAAGCACGCCTTCGACGTGGGCGAGTATGGTACGGGCTTCATGACCAACTCCCTTAAGCTTGGTTGTGATTGCAAGGGCGTCATCCACTACATGGACGCCATTATGGCTGTGGGTACGGGAGAGGCAGCTATCGTGAAGAATGCCATCTGTATCCATGAAGAAGACAACGGGCTTCTGTACAAGCATACCGACTACCGTGACGGTACCGTTATTTCCGCCCGCGACCGCAAGCTCATCATTTCCCAAATCATCACCGCTGCGAACTATGAGTACTGCTTCTACCACACGTTCCTCCTGGACGGTACCTACAAGCTGGAAATCAAACTTACGGGCATGCTCAATACCTATTGCATGCACCCCAGCGAGACCGCGGCACCGTTCGGCACGGAGGTGGCCCCGGCCATCAACGCTCACAACCATCAGCACATCTTTTCCCTCCGCGTCGATCCCGAGATTGATGGTCCGGGCAATACTGTTGTGCAGAATGACGCTGTCACCGCGGATGATCCCCTCGGCTCTTCTGGAAATCTGTACGGCAACGGCTTCTACTGCAAGAAGACGCCCATCCAGACTGCCTCTGGCCATGAGTACAAGCACGAGACAGGCCGCTCTTGGGACATCATCAACCCCAGCATCATGAACCCCGTGGCGAAGAAGCCAGTCGCCTACAAGATCCTCAACAACAATTGCCCTGCCCTCCTCGCCAAGCCGGGAAGCATGATCTGGAAGCGTGCCGCCTTCGCCCGCAAGGCGCTGTGGGTTACCCCGTACAAGGACTATGAACTGTTCCCCGCGGGTGACTATGTGTGTCAGTCGAGCGGCGAAGAGGGGCACCCCTACAACGAGACCGTCGTCGACTGGGTGAACAGGAACGAGTCGGTTGAGAACACCGATGTCGTCTGCTATGTGCAGTTCGGCCTGACGCACTTCCCGCGCACTGAGGATTTCCCCGTGATGCCGGCCGAGCCCGTCGGCGTCATGATCAGGGCGTCCAACTTCTTCAAGAAGAACCCGGCGCTTTGGGTGCCTCCTTCGGTTGTGGCTGTCGACAAGACTTCCAAGAATGCGTTCGCGAAGTCTGAGGCCGCTGAGTCTTGCTGCGGCAGCAGGGACAGCAAACTGTAGAGGATTTGAGTTGGGAGACCAGAGTTGGTAGTCTCGTGCCGTTGCCTTCGTTCGATTTGGTAGTTCAGCAGTCTTTTCCGAAATTCAAAATCAGTGCCACTTATCATCATCAGTATCGTGCTTCGAATGCTGCTCTTGGTGCTTGTGTTATGGCAAGTACACCGTAGGCCATATAGGGCTGATTTGCTTCATGATGCTTCGAATAACTCAAGTAGTTTGCGATTACGTGATTTCATCAGATAAAAAAAGAGTGTCATTGGACCAAGATCTCGGGGTCGTCATTGCTTGTTGGCTAATTAATGTGCCGAGAATCCGCCCGTGAATCTCTACTCCACTATCCGCCTGATAAGCTGTTTGGGCGTCCAATCTTCCCTTCTTCCAGGGGGTTTCGGTGCCTGCCAACCCAACCCAACGCCCACCCTGCTACCGGAATCTGGGGTAGGTGCTCCCGCCTAGAGCCGTTCTAGAACCAGGTTCCTCTTTCTCTCATCCTCCCATCTTCACAACCTCAGTCGAACGGAAGACATTTGGTTTTTCGCTTTTCGACGCAGCTACGTCAGGGAATTTTGAGGGAAGAATCTGCCTCTCACTTCAAAACGCCGGCGTCGCTTTGATACACCCTTCGGTCAAGTAATCCGCATTGTCGCTGCCGCATGCGAAGGGAATCGCCGATTGAACAGTCAACTTTGTCGTCGACCTCGAAAGAGAGCTCGATGGTTATGGAGCATGTGAGTTCGACTCAACAGACCTACTGACAAACCATCTGTTTCAATATGTCCGCATGCTAAACAAGATCACTTCCATAGACTTTGCTACTCGTCAACGCCAGCCGCAACGTTCGAATGCACAGAGAACCCAACATCTCGTTCCACTTCGGTATCAAACGCAAGTGCATGACCAATTGCCAAGAAGAAATCGGTGCGTACCATGCCGGTTAAACGGGTCAGGATCGTCAAGGGCTCTTGCTGGCCCTGCAAGAAGCGCCGCATCAAATGCGACCTCTCCAAGCCAGCCTGTCTACGCTGCGTTTCTTCCGGCGCCACGTGTGACTACAACAGCCGTCTGATACGATGGAGTTCCCGGCCGAGTCCTCATATGCTGTCTCCGTGTAGCATTCCGCGGAACGACCTGCATCTGACCGTGTCGATCGACGTATGCGAGCGGCGTGCTCTCGACTACTTTCACTGTCGCGTCTGGCCCCTCCTTTCTGCTTCAGAGGAACCTTGCGTCCCCCCAACCCAGGTCGCCTTGGAATACCGAGTCGTGTTACTTGCCACTTGCGTGCTGTCCGAATCTCACCGGCTGTTACAAGACGGCAAGCATACCCGCGATGTGCTTTGCAAGAAGCGGCTCGAATGCCTCTCTGCCGTGCGGGCCGAGATAGAAGGTTGCTGTGCCGACGCGCAGGGAAATGGGCCTATGATCGGGCTTCTGTTCGCAGTCATGCTGCTGTACTTCGACGACGGATATATGAGCTGTATACTCAACTCAGCATCGACCTATAGCCATTACAGTGGTATCCTGGCTATTCTCGAGCGTCTAGGTGGCGTCGACGCTGTGATACAGACGGCTGCCGAGCCGCTGCACATGCTGATCTCGGAATTTGCGACAACAGATCTCACAACATCCATGATTCAAGGAAGGCCTCCTTGTTTTGCCCCCGAAGTGTGGGATCTTCTTGATCGGGTCCCGGTTTGGTGGGGCCGTGACCCTTTGGGTAGATGCTCTCTCGCGTCCGTTTTTCGCGAGATCGCTAGTATGAGCCAGTACCTGCAGGCAACGGCTGAGATGACTGAAGAGTTGTCGATGGAGCGCATCCACAAATTCGAAGCTGCCCTCCGCCCCGTATACGCGCCCCCGTCCCTCGAGGAATCTGATGGCCGTAGCCCTTCAGAGTTATCCGAGTCCTCTTCCGTCATTGAGGCGGAAGCTACACACGCGTTTACCCTTGTCCGCATATTCCAGCACGCCGCCTTGCTGTACCTGTACAGAGCCATATGTGGTCTTCCAACTCTGCACCCACTTGTCCAGCAACATGTCAAGTCCTGCCTTGCCTGTATCTTCGAAATCCCCAAGGAGGCGAAGGTCCGCAACTGCATTATTTTCCCGTTGTTCGTTGCAGGAGCCCATGTCAAATGTCCAGAGGAGCAGAGGTCCGTTCTAGGCATGGCTGATGTGGTTTACGACGGAATGCGCTTTGCTTCGATTGAGGCCGTTAAGTCCGTCTTCAAAGCGGTCTGGTCGTCCAACTCTGATACGTCCTGGTTAGAGATGTTCAGATATCTAAGTCCGAACGCTTTAGTGCTCTAAAACGTCGATGAAACTTACTACGTTCCTTAGAAGGGTGGAGGAGGTCAGTCTTGAAGAAATAAGGATGGTGGTTGATGTCGAGGGAAAAGGACAGCAGACTAGGACCGTCGTGACAGTTGGAGTACTCTGGCCGTAGACTTATTCCCGGGTGTGTCAATGCTGCTTTCAAGGAGTATTATCACAATTTGAGCCATATTTGGATAAAATTGCGAGTTCGCGGTGTCAGTTGGCTATCCGGGCAGTGTCTACACACGCATGTACTTCCGTATATCTTGCCAGACCACCAACGCTAAAGCGACTATATTTCCTATATACTTGCTTCCTTCATCATTATCGTCGTCGCCATCGTCGTCCTCGTCGTTTTCCATACTGCTATCTTCCTTATAGAAGTATTATATCTAGTATAGTGGAAACTGCTCGGATATCCAACTGACACTGCCTGGCTAGCGAGACTTGGAAATGGACCTGGAAGATTCCAAGCTGCTGAAAAGGGCGACATCTCCCATCCAGTTGCGAAATGCGGCAAGCTCTTCAGATCTTGTTGGGCATTTGCTCATCATTGCTGTGGGAATGCGTAAGCTATTCCTTCCGCCCCTTCCCCCAATCCTTCCACTCGTAGTTCGGTGCGCGGCGCGGATCATGATGCATTGCAAGCCACGGGGCCAAGACCACGAATGCTAGCGATATCCCGAACATCCACTCCATGAGTTCTGTCTGGCGCTTGTGCACATACTTCAACGTGTAAAGAGTGTAGCCGTACAAGGCCGTCAAGAGGACTACGAGAAACAAACAGAAGCTCATGGCGGCGCCTTGGCGGCACTGGAGTCGAGGCGAGCCAGGGGTGAACCAGCCGTATCGATCGGGGATGTGGAGAACCGAGGATTGGATGTGGTATCCTCGGGGAGCGACGGCTAGGTAGGTCGGATTGAGCTGGCCATGGATGATTTCTTTGAAGGGTGCGTTTCTGAGTTTGTCCCTGAGAAGGCGATCCATTTTGGGAGTTGGTGGATTGTGCGAAGATATCGATGTGGAGATCACAATACAAGACCATGTGTGTATGTGGTTGATGTCTTGTGACAAAATGGGACTTTAAGATGGCGAAGAGATGATCTGCCTCAAAGCTTACGATTGAAGTGATTATCAAGGTTACGTCTGGGCTGCCTTCAGTTCTTCGCCGTGGCCAAAAGGGTGTAAGTTGAGGGGACACTCAACATGACTTTCGCAGGAGCCAACTACCTCTTAAGCTGGGAGTCCAAGTCCGCAGACTTAGCAACATTTGAAACTAATTTCAGAGTCTCTGCAATAGTTCCAACGCTTTGAAGAGATTTCTGCTAACATTTTGAGTTGGTTGTGGTTCATGATGGGAGCCATCGTGGTGGGGGCAAAAAGGTGGGCAAAAGAGGAGAAACACCGAAAACATACAACACCGGGCATTCGCCAGTCGTCACCGACCTGACTACTACTCCGGCCCTCATTAGCTTATCTATGGGAGAGCGGACGGGATCCCGAGTTTTCCAATGGGTATGGTCGTATGTGGTGGACTCGGGAGGTCAAGTTGCCCATGGACTTAGGCGAAGATGCGCACGGTTTGAGATAAAACACGATGAAAACCCGAGGAACCTTCGCCTCAGGCTAAACAGCACTGGCATAGGTGGCTTATTTTGCATCGGGCATCTGATCTGTTGAGGGCAGCATACCTAAAGCGAGTCTCGTTACAGATGTTTAGGCTGTCGCAACCGTAAGCTAGGATCTTTTGATCACAGTTGGAACCTAGTCATGTTAGATTCGGATTTCCAATCAGACTTGAGAATTAAGTGTTCATATATTGGTTACAATACATAACTTAACGCGCTTAGTTCTTGCCTTCCAAGCCAAGTTCCTCTCAGAGGTTCGCTGTTTCCCACTTTCTCCGCAAAGTGTTATATCGAATCCAAACCTCGCTTCTCATGGTAAGAGTTTCAGTGGTTGAAGAAAACGTAGAAGCAAGTTCAGCTCGAGAAACCATTGTTGAGTCCGAATCTTCTGTCCCAAACCACATTTTGACCCTATGATCCAACTCGTATCGTCTACCTCCTCCTTTCGCGAGCTCCGATTTGTCGATGAAAATCTACATAATTCCCGGTAAGAATACACATGCAAAGTATTGAGACTGAGTATACTCACCGGAACCCAAGTGGTTTTCCCGCTATGCTCAGATCTCTGCAGACCCACGACAACATGAACACTTCCATGATCGTTGCCGGAGACTTCGATCGTATCATGAATTCGCAGGCCTCTTTTCGGGGAAGCCTTATCCCAGCACCCAGTCTTGTGCAGAGAGTAAGACTCCCCGGGCCGCCATGGTTGCCAATTTCCGTTGAAGTTTTCCAACCGGGTCCCGTCAGCCGGTATGTGAGAGATCCAGTTGTGAGCATATTGGCCAGTCCAGCACAAGTGCATGTTGGGAGATAAGGGAACAGACTGATACACAACGTTGAAGTTTGAAGGATTGGCACCTGTGTAATTAGCCTGAACAGAAATTGCGACCTTCAAACGATGTTTCTGCGCCAGTAGAGTCTCTAGGTCGTTTCGATCCTCGTGAACATGGATAGCATAGCTAGGCATAGCGATGATCATTTGGACTATTTGAGAATTTCTCTGTCAGATATAGAAGAAATTCTTCCCAAGACTTCTATTGAGGCTCTATGTTGGCTAAAGAGGGGGTTTGAGTTGGGCAAGCTTTCGGGATGCAGCACATGATATTGCTCGTGAACCAGACTCGCCCACATGTGACGATCCGCACTATCAAAACGACGAAACTTATGTCTGATTTACGTGGAAACATGATCTCGACTTGAATCAATGCAGATGGCCTGCTCTGCAACCATGTCATGCATGATAGCCTGCTTTTGGCCGGCTGGAGGATGCTTCTGAAGAATTGACATTGCTCTCGATTCCCGTCTTCACCACGTAATACCTTTGGAACAAATCGAATACTGCCACCCCAACCTCCGGGGATAATTGGCGACCAATCGGCAACGGCCAGCAAAGGGACAGAATCGGTTCGAATAACCTTAACTTGGTATCATGATCGTCCCCAAATCCCCAACCACTCAAGACGACATCCGACCCTGCTGTCCAGCGGACCTCCCGCAGCCACGACGCCCCACATCGTCACTCGCTCATCTGAGCTTTTGGCGATCTCTGATTGGCTGACGATGCCGCACCGCGACCAACCTTCGTCACGCAGCCACAGCCACCTTCACGCTCAGCCACTCTACGTCACCTATCACTTAGAAGCTCTTGGCAATACCACCACCACCAGGTTTTGGACGAGGGAGAGGCAGCTCATTGTGCCACCACAACCAAGGACGCAAGCGAGCTTGTCATTCTGTCAGTTTCTACCCTTTGGCTCCCTCGTCACACGCTACGAAGGACAGGAAGAAGGTATATATCCCGCCCGTTCCTTCTTGGCTCCTCCATCGACTGACACTTTCCAAGCCAAGTCTGGACTACCTCACTTCACCACAACAAGCTTTCCTGCAAACCAACCGTCTACCAGCAAATCCAAAAACGTACGTTCCTCACCTGCGAACGCTTGAGCCCCCTCCCAGAAGCTCGGACTGACATACTCTCTACCAGAGAACCCACCAACACACCTTCAACATGCCTTTCTTCTACTCCAAGCCCATCGGTGGCAAGAACTTCGGCACGAGCGTGCACGCAGACCGCCACGGCATCCGCCGCGGACCCTGGCGCTTCCGCATCGGCCGCTTCAACTGCTTCAGGTAGAGGCGACGCAGCTATGAAGTGTGCGTGTCGTTGCCCTGAAAGTGCGACCGCTACCGCGACCAGGCCTGGGACCTGCCTACCTACTTCTTGCGTTCTGTTTTCCCCAGACGACAGTCTTGGGACGATGGACGAACGACTTTACCTTTTATGAGATCATGGATACCGGCGTTTTGCTTTATGAGCCCTTTGGGTTGGTAGTGCGAGCGTTTCCTGACTTGTCTGTCCTTATTGGGTTACCGCCGTTGCGACTGGATTGGCCGCGACGGCTTTGGGCGGAACGACGAGAGTCGTGCCCAGGTAGATAATGAATACTTTTCTTCATTGATAACACAATGGTTGGGCGATGGCTTGAATTGGTAGGCCCCCCTGGCCATGAGATGGGACCGGAATTTGGGGATGGCATGATTTGACAACCAACCTCAATAATGACACTACCTTCCAGCTCACGAGGTGACACCCTGGTGGGAAGCACGCCTCAATATAGTTCGCAGAAGTTGGAGTACGTGTAGCCAACTGGTATCGAGCTCGGAACTCTTCTATCTTATGGCCCCAGCTCGACTGTCGATGCTTGACGAGGAAGTCAATGACAGACATGCTCAGAGGAAACACAGGGCATTCAGCTAAACGTGAGTGTCATCTCGCGAAATGCCAGAGGTACGAAGACATGGCGTTGGAAGACACCCATCTGGAAGACACCCCAGATGTCTTCTCAGCCGAAAGGCCGACTTGTCACTGCGCATGGAAGCTGGCAAACATGATTCTCGTAGAACAACCAACCAACTGGGAAGGTGGTGACATTTTCGAATTGAGCGTAAGAATCTTGTTTTCCATGCCGTCTAACGCCATTATGAAGTACCAAGATGTCCCGAACCACCCTCGAAGCCGGAGGACACGCCAGGCAATGCATCAAGGTCTTTTGGCTCTGTTTGACAAAGTTGCTGCGTTTTTTTCTTTTGTATTCATTCCTAGCACAACGGTAAACCGATTTGCCATGCCAGGCCTCGCAGCAGAACCCTCCTGAATCATCGCAGTGTTGTAGACCGTTATCCGATGCAAAGTTCTTTTGTTTTATTCCTCTTTTTGTTCCCCGTTATCCCTGGAGAAGAAAAAGAAAAGAATACCGAGAGGGGTAGAGAGCACACCAACGCAAAGTGTAAACCGTAAACCCTTTCCCCCTCGTCGCCCCACGCGCCCCTTTCCCCCAGAATGGATTTGCTATGTTCCACAGAAAAGACAGGACCCCATCCGAACGACCAAAACGGAGTATTCTTCCGCTTAGACCTCGGTGGTGACCTTGGCCTTGGGGTTGGTGACCTTGACGCCGAGCTGCTTGGCGCGGGAGATAATGTCGATGCGCTTTCTCGAGGAGACGTTGTGGGCGATCCTGAAAAAATGTGTTAGAAGTCACTACTCGTGACGAAACACAGAGTCGGTTATCGTTGGGGGTTGGGTGGTACGCACTCGGCAGCGTAGGTGCGGTTGTGCATCAGCAGGAGGTTGACGTCGTTGACGTTGCTGACGAGGAAAGCCTTGTGGCCGGAGGGCATCATGTACTTGGTCTTCTTGTTGGAGCCGAAACCGATCTGAAGGGCGAGGGAGTCTTGGTCAGCGATTGTCCTCGAGGAAAGGGCCCCTCCAATGTCTCCCAAGTTGGAGCATCCAACATTCTCCCTCTTCCAAAAGTTCTGTCTTCCTCCGCGGGTTTGGGTGCTGAACGTACCGAGGGCATGGTCATGTTGCCACGGAAGCGACGGCGAACACGGTTGTCAATACCCTTGGGCTTGCGCCATGATCGGTCAACGCGCATAAAGCGGTCGCTCTGGTGGCGGTTGAAGAGCTTCGTGCCTGTAAACACATATCCGTCAATCGTCTCGTTCTAATCCAAAGGTCTCGCATGTGTCTCGCGTAATGACTTTCATCGTCGCGTTGTGTTCTCGGAGCGGGGTGTATCGGGTGGGCTTTTGGCGTTGTGGGAGGAAGGACATACGCTTCTTCACGATAGGGACGTGCTTCTTTGCGGCGACCATCTTGAACGAGAAAAAATGTCAGTATGCAATTACGACGGCGACAATTATTGCAATTGTCGATAGTAGAGCAGGGCGACTCGATTCTCACCTTGACGGTTGTTCCTGGCTGTGGTTAGTCGGGGTGGTGTTGGACGTCGAGACTCGGAACTGGCGAAAAAATTGGTTCAATCGGGTGGCTCTGCACGACGAACCCACGACTTGAATTAGGGCTCGCACACGTGTGGGAGGTACGTACCGGCGCTCGCCTGTCTTGGAAGGCGCTAGCAGCAGGGGAGGCCATCTGCAGTTCAGGAGCCCCACCAAGCCGCTCACCTTGACCCCGCTACGTTCACCGAAAGTGCCGCACTAAAAATGGTGCTCTGCTGCGAAGCCAGTTCATCTCAACTCGCCGCATCATAGACATTGGGCAATGTCGAGGCAAAACAGACCCCCTGTTTTTCCTGTGCTAAAGCGACCAATCTCATGCGTGCTCGCTATCGTCGTTGCCGAGAAAGTCGCTATTATTGTTGCTGCTGTTGTTGCTACTGTCATTAGTACTGTCGTTGCTGCTGTTGTTACTGATGTCTTCACTGCTGTTTTGTTACTATTATTGTCGCTATCTATCATTGCCGTCTATCGTCGTCGTCTGTCGCCGTCCTCCTCACTAAAACCACCCACCCAGTATGCGGGAATGTAGTCGCCCACACAGACAGGTAAGTCAGAGGTTCTCAAGGCCAAAAAGGTTGGCGAAGGGCAAAAATGAAGTTCCCACTACGAGGTTCGAACTCGTGTCTCCTCGGTGATTCATATAGAATGAAAGCGAGGTATGCTAACCACTACACTAAATGGGACGAGGAACTAAACTCGGCCGCATGCAGCTCTGGAGCGTTGGTTGCGAAAGGTGGAAGCCAAGATGCCTATACCCCTTTGATGTGAGCTTTGGTAAAGAGTGGCAACGGGGCACGTCCATCGTTTGTTTGAATCACCGCCGGCATACATGGCAGATGGACGCCATCAAGGTTGAGAAAAGACATGGTACCCGTGATCCGTGGGGCACCGTTCATTCATGAAGGGGGATGATGCCCAAGCTAACAACAAGCTACAAAACTCCTCTCCAGATCCCGTGTCTATGCTTCACCCTTCACCATCCAGGGTTGTCATCATGTCTGTCATGAAACGTAGGGCATCGTGCCCCAAGACTCTGTCCTCTAAAAGTCTCTATATGTTGCCGTCTTACTGCGGCTGGCACTGGGGCTGGCCATCCTCCTCGTCCTCGTCCTCCCACTCGCCTCCGAATCCTGGTCCGCCGGCGTTTCCGCCCATCTACAAACACTTTGTTAGCGCGTGTTGCCAGTATCGCAGGAGCGATTCAAACTTACTTGGTCCAGGCTGTCAACCTCTTCGTATTCGACCTCGTCGACTTCGTCCGCCTTGATCTCGGGAGGAGGGGGCGGCAGAAGCTTGTTCAGAGCATCGTACTCCTTGTCCTCCTTCAACCAGCCGTCCTCGGGGAACTCGACATTGACAATCAGGTACAGGTCGCCCCTAGCGTCACCTCTCTTGTGCGGCATACCCTCTCCGGGCACCTTCAGAATGTCGCCAGGGCGAAGGATGTTACCGCGCTCCCGCTCGAGGTGGATGCCACGGCCATCCAAGTGCGTCAGCACAGTCCTGGAGAAGCCGCCGAGGGCCTCGGCCAGGGTGACGGTCAGTTCAGCAGACAAGTCGTTGCCGATGCGGGTGAAGTCGTCGTGGGGCTCCTCCTGCAGGTGGAACACAATGTCTCCAGGAGTCTGGTCGGGGTGCTGGTCGGCCTCTCCCTCTAGCACGATCCTCTCGCCGTTCTGGGAACCTCTGGGAATGTAGATCTCGAGCACCTTGGTCTCAGATGTCGTCCGCTTGCCCTTGCACTTCTTGCAACGATCCTTCTCCTTGCAGAAGTTGCCAGAGCCCTCGCAGCGGTCGCAGATAACCGTCTCCTTGCGCACCAGGCCGGGTCCGATCTGACGGAAGGCCTCGGCCATACCGGCGCCTCTGCACTTGTCGCACTGTTGGGGCTTAACGTTCGCCTTGGCGCCGGATCCTTTGCAGGTGCCGCAGACGACCTGCTTGTTGGCAGAGAACTTGACTGTCTTGCCCTTGTAGAGCTCCTCGAGCGTGACCTTGTACGGCTGGTCCTCGTCGGGACCGCGACGAGGCCGCCTGGGGCCAGCGCCGCCGGGACCGCCAGGACCGCCCATACCGAAACCGAACATTTGTGACAAGATATCGTTCAGGTCGACCTCGACGCCGCCGGGACCGCCGCCGCCGCGGGAGGGGTCGAAGGCGGCCATGCCGTGGGTATCGTAGAGATGGCGCTTCTCCTCATCCTTCAAGATCTCGTAGGCCTGGCTGACGGCCTTGAACTTGGCTTCGGACTCTTCTCTGCGATCCTCAGGGACCTTGTCGGGGTGATGTTGCAGGGCAGCCTGATGGGAGCGGCTAAGTTAGTTCAACGTTGGGTGTGATCGCGAGACTGGGAGTGGCCACGAACCTTTCGGTATGCCTTCTTGATCTGGTCCTGGGACGCATCCTTATCGATTTCGAGCAGCTCTGGTAAAATGCGTCAGAAGTGATCCACCGCGACCAAAAAAAGGTACCCCCCAAAGGGCTCCATAGACAATTCAGATGCTTACCGTAGAGATCGATCTCCTCCGCCCCGGCGTCAGCACCGGCATTTGGTCCACCACTGTCCATGATGGAGAATTTTCTGAAGGTGTACTCGGCAAATGTTTCGCTCGAGATGTTCAACCTTCGGCGGTTTGGTTTGGTGATGTGGAAAAGGTGGGATGTGGAGTCGACCTGAAAAATATTTGTCTAGAGTACCTGTTTGCAGCTGGTGGTTTGGCGGGGTACTTTGCCAGCATCCAGTGCCTTACGGGGCGCGCGGTCCCTAGGTACCTACAGCCTGTCCAGCGAGTGCGCGGCAGATGATATCAGGTAAGCTGGGCGCGGCCTGGTATCCGTAGCCTTCAGGTACCTACCTAGTGCGACCAGTCTCCAACCCAGGGCACCCCGCCTGCACTGCAGCTGCTCATCATTCATCCAGGCGGTGTCCGAATTCCCTATTTCCCAACCATCAGTTCCCATGCACTTTTTGTAATGGACGAATCACGATACCGATGTTGAAAACGAGTGAGCAAGAAAATGGAGTAGTAGACTGCTGCCCCATTAGCAATTGCAGGCGTACCGAGTTGAGGCAAAGCACCGAGCAGCACGCCTGTACGGAGGTCCGCTGTACAGACGAATCTGTGCAACGCATCTTCGACTTTCACAGGCAACCGAACGTAGTCATCAGACCAACCCCGAGGATACCGAGAAAGAATCTGGAAGACAAAACTGGACAACTGCCAGAAGGTCGTCGAAACCTTGGCCAGCTTGAAGTGAGAGGTCAGGGTTTGACATTCGTATGACTAGTGTCATCTGAATCTTGGGAAACCCAAAACGTTTAAGAATCTGGTTGGCTTGGATAGATCAAGGAATTGCCGTACGGCCACCATTTCAATTCGGGCATTGCGTTGTATCGCTCTGATTGTGCCAGTGTGCAGGGTTGTTGGTGATTTGGGACGCCGCCAGCGACCTGCTGTGTTGTGTAAGTCGGTACCTCGCTTTGTACATATCTGCTTTTTGCGCCACATGTGGCTGAAGCTCATCGTCAAATTTCACCCAAGGTCAGCTCACTCATGAAGGATATTGGTGAATCTCAGGACGGCGCCATTCTCATGTTTTCAACATGTCAACAATAGCCCTGCGGCCGCATAGCAGGTCAATACTCCAACGATCAGCATACACCTGCCAACAGTGTCGCGCAAGCTCACCGAGATGGCACTCTTCTGCTAAGAAGACGGGCGGATTTGAGGCCCTGAGGAAGAAGCTTCCGTCCCTGGCCGATGGAAAGCTGAGAGACCTACCGACCAAGCCTGCTAGGACACGCTTTGCTCCTTCACCAACCGGATACCTCCATCTAGGCTCATTAAGAACCGCCTTGTTCAATTGGCTCATTGCGCGGGCCACGGGAGGACAGTTCATCATCCGTGTTGAAGATACGGATCGGGTGAGGACGGCTCATGCGCATGTCATTATTCATAGGAGGGCCTAGGACTCACAACTTACCAGACACGAATCGTCGAGGATGCCACATCTCGTCTTCTTGCAGATCTGAAATGGGCAGAGCTCGACTGGGATGAAGGTCCTGACGTCGGCGGCAAGTTCGGTCCTTACCAACAAGTAAGCCTCACCCCTTCATCCTCCTCCTGTACACGTCTAACATCTCGCAGTCACTACGGCTGGACCACTACAAACACAACATCTCCCAGCTTCTCGAAAACGGCCACGCGTACCGCTGCTTCTGCTCGTCCCACGATCTCGAGCGCCACAAGCAACAGTCCCTCGAGGGCGGCGGCACCGCCCACTACCCAGGAACCTGCCGCACCATCCCCGTCCCCGAGGCCGAACGCCGCGCCGCCGCCGGCGAACCCCACGTCGTCCGCTTCAACGCCCAGGGCCGCCGCCCCTCCTTCGTCGACAGCGTCTACGGCAACTACCAGAAGAGCGAGGACGAGGACGACTTCATCCTCATCAAGACGGACGGCTACCCGACCTACCACTTCGCCAACGTCGTCGACGACCACCTCATGAACATCACCCACGTCATCCGCGGCGCCGAGTGGCTCATATCCACGCCCAAGCACATCGCCCTTTACGACGCCTTCAACTGGACCCCGCCCACCTTCGCCCACGCCGGCCTCCTCTGCGCCCAGAACGGCGAGAAGCTGAGCAAGCGCAACCACGACATCGACATCTCCTCCTACCGCGACAGGGGCGTCCTCCCCTCCGCCCTCAACAACTGGCTCGCCCTCCTGGGCTGGAGCATGAGCGAGAAGGACCTGGCCAAGAAGGACGGCGAGGTCATCTACACCACCCAGGCCCTCGCCGAGAAGTTCTCCCTCCGCTTCACAAAGGGCAACATCAAGACGAACCCGGACAAGCTCGCCGTCATCCAGCGCAAGCACCTCACCCACCGCCTGCGCGAGGACCCGGCCGACGAGGCCCTCCTCCGCCGCACCATCGTCCCCGTCTCGACCAGGCTCCTCGCCTCCATCTCCGACCTCCTCGCCGCCAAGAAGGAGGAGTACCTCACCAACCCAGCCAACCACCGCCACGCCTTCTCGACAACGGACTTCTCCGGCCTGACCCCCGTCCTCGCCGACCCGGCCACAGCGCCCGCCCACATCCTGCGCGTCAACCGCGCCCTCGCCGCCGACTCCCCCGTTGACCCGCTCGACCTCATCTACGAGCACCCCTCGCTCTTCTTCCGCCCCAGCGCGACCGCCTACGCGCGGCACACCTTCTCGCGCTCCCTCTCCAAGCTGGACGACCTCAAGGACTACGCCGGCGCTGCCGGCCCTGAGGCGCTGCTCGCGGACCTGCGCGCGTCGTTTGAGGCCGTGCCGGTCGCCGAGTGGGGCGCCGCGAAGCTGCAGCAGGTCATCAACGATTTCAGCGAGCGGCATGCCACCGAGGTGACCAAGGACGACGGGACGACGAAGAGGGTCAAGGCGACAAAGGCGGCGTATACGTTACTGAGGCTGGTCCTGACTGGCGATCCCCTGAGGGGGGCCAAGCCGGCCAAGCTGCAGCTCGCGCTGCTCGGGAAAGAGGAGACCCTGCTGAGATTTGACATGTGTGCTGCTTAGGGGTCAGGAAGCAGATAAGAGGGAGGACAGAAAAGTTCGGGGGATAGTTACACGTCTGGTGCCTCCCTCCAGCGTGGTCTGGACTCGCCTCCCTGTCTGGTGCCCAGATGGCGGCAGTGAGACCTTTCGAGTGGAGTATTGTACGATATTATGTTCGTTACAGCCGAATGAAAACATGCACAGTATGGGGCAATGAAGATCTTGGGCACCCACCAACATATTGTCAAGAAATCGGGTCACTCGGTCTTCCTTCAATTGGGCTTGCTGCTCCGCAATGTTCGTAGTTGTCTTGGTCCTGACTGCTCGGCCGTGTCATTGGGTAAACAGCCGACTTGTTGCATTGCGTCTTCATTCACGGCAGTCACATACATACGTTTACCATGAGATACAGCACAAGTACACATGCGGTTGAATCTCCGTTCTCAATTTCTGTAGACACATCTACCTCATCAGATCATGTGCAAGCCTCCCCACCAAACTTCACAGAAGTTCCTTTCGATACACACATACGTACACACGTAGGGGAGACGATATTAAAAGGTAGACGTAGTAAGCACGGGTAGCTCGATCATTAAATTTGATGTGCGGGACTTTCAAAACCAACTCGTGAGAGTAATAAGAGGAAAAGAGATAGTTGGTAAGAGATTATATCGAGACAAGGAGAGAAAATCTTGGGTTCGTGGGAATAAGTAGTTAAGGGGAGAAGAGAAGAAAAATAACAACTGTCCTCCACCATCTCGTGATGGTATAAAACCCGGTCGCCCCTCATCCCTGGAAGCAGTTCCGTTTCTAAAACAATGCAACGCTATGATCATATCGTTCGCGGCCGTCGGGGGTTGTGCCATCGAGCCAGCTCTGTGTGGCTCTCACGCTCTCTCTCTCACTTGCAATCCAATTCAGCTTCGTGTCTTCTTTTGCCTCGAAGTGTGGTCTCATTCCCGTTTTGTACGCCCGTGTCTACAACCGAATTCCATCTCCTGAAAATGCAGCTAAAGATGATGATATAAAAAGGTGTTACTAATAGAAGAAGGAAATGGTTGTAGAGGCTCGGGCGAGCAAATTTGTTCATTACGTCGTCATGTGGCTTGGTTGGGGGTATAATTCGTCTAAATTTCCTGAACCCAGATCTGTTGATTCGAATTAGCAACATGGTCGAGTGATGAAGAAAAGCGTTTTGATTATGACTTACCTCCATCTTGCCGATATCCTGCCTTGCTTTCCTCGCTTGGCTCTTCGCAGTCATGATCGCCATGTCGAGGTCATCTTGGTCGCCCATGGTGATCATGTCACCGTTGGGCATGTCCTCGTCGCGAATCTTAATCTTGAACCGCCTGCGAAGGCCAAACTTCTCACGGATGCGGTCGATGAAGTCGGGGAACTCGACCGCCGCACCAACCATGATGTATCTCACGTCCTCGGCGTGCACCTTGACGCGAATCTTGCGAATCTCTGGCCTCCTTGAGCCGCCACGAGACGACATTGAGTTGGTACCAGGGCGTCTGTTGGAAACCATCTCAAAGTCACCCTCATCAAAGGACCCGTAGTCGGAGCCGTCCTCCTCATCCTCCATGTACCGCTGGGGCACACGACGGGAGGTCTGGCGACTAGTTCTGGAGCTGCCGGGGCCGCCACCTTGGTACATGTCGTAAAGCTCGTCGGGGTACGCATCTTCGGCGTCCTCGTCCTGACGGCCACGCATCTGCATATCGCGTCTGGAGTAGCCTCGGCTTGGGGTAGCCGATCGAGACTCGGATCTCATGCTGGGCGGCGCTGCCCGACGGTCGTTCGGGCTGCTCGTCTTCTGGTACCGGTCGTTTCCTCTAGCATTGTCGATGTTGAGCTTCGCGAGCATTGGCTTCGGTCCGTTGCGAACGGATTGTCCGCGTGTCATACCGCCAGCACCACCGTTGGCCTCGACTTGGTCGGGAGGAGGTGTAGGCGGGAAGACGCCGCGACCGTTAGGCGGTTCGGACTGTTGTCTTCTTGATGCCAGACCGGGCTTGACCAGGTTGGTAGCAGCGAAGGAGATGTTATCAGCGGGCCTGTCGTCTTTGTTGTCATTCTTGCCAGCCTGTAAACCAAGAAGTCTCTGATTAGCAAATTGATTCCCATAGAAGCTGATGGTTGTGGGAACCGATCTGCCTACATTCTTGATCTCAGATCCAGCGAAACCAGTGAAGGCATTTGCTCGATCGGAGGCGGCGACCAGCCGTGCCTTTCCGAGGTAGTCCTTAGTCTTGAGGTTGCGAACCTTGGCCTCATTTGGTCGGTAGACGACGCCGACGGGAATCGAGAAGACGGTGTACCCCTGCGCATGTTAGTTCGGTTCCTGAATAGAGGGCAACCTTCATACCTCGGCCTCTTCACGGATCGCCTCATCAATTACGTTGTGATCCTCGACGACCTTCTCCTTCACGGCGTAGGACAGGTCTTGTAGACCTGCATCCTTTTGTTGCAAGTAAATGTAGCACAGTCCTCGGTTGAAGAGAACCTCGCATGAGTAAAGCTTGAAAAGCAGGCCCAATTGGGCGTAGTCAATCATGGTGTTGCCTCTCAGGTAGAGGAGGGTGTCGTTGAAGTTGGCCAGTGCCTCTTCGAAGTCACCAAGCAGGAAATTCGATACGCCTTGTTGGAAGTAGGCGACAGCGAGGTACTGGTCTAATCTGATTGCTCGTTGGTAACATTCAACCTGTTTGTGAAGTCAGTCGCGGTGCTCGGAGGTAGGCTCGGGCGGGGATCACGCACAGCCTTCTCGTGTTCTCCCAGAGTGGCGTGAATGACACCCATGTTGAAGAGAATTTTTGAGGTGTCCGAGATCTTCTCGAAGTCCTTGAGGGCCTCGTCGAACTCATTGTTGTCGTATCGGGCCAGGGCCGACACCCACGACTCTATTTCCTATGAGGCAAGCATGGTTAGTCGTTTGTGCTTTGGACTTCCCCTCTGCCGATCGTCGGGTTTTCGTATCGCGGTGGTTGGGCTCCGTCGGATGGCTGAACTCACTTGTTTCAACGACATGTTGTCGCCAGAGAAGAATGATCAAATGCGGATGACGGAAAAATCAGTTTCGAATGATTGCTGCGCAGGCAGACCGTCGCTGCTGCTGCTGCTGTTCGCAAGAAAGTTGCGGGAGATGTTCGCGGAGAGGGTATCGTGGGGAAACTGCGCGGACTTGCGAGAAGGAAAAGCCAAAGCGATGATCCAAACCGGGCCAGATTGGCAGTAAAGTGTGCCGCGGGCGGCTAGAGGAGGGTCCCAGGGCTATTTAGGGAATGAGTAACAGGCGGTGGTGACCGTGCGGTGTGCCCGGCGCCACTGAAAAGACGGTTGGAGTCGTATCCCCGCTTCCACCTGTAAATGGCTGCAATTCGGAGCTGGGCGATGAAAGCGAGAGCAGAAGAGGAGCTGAAGATCTTGGCGCGTGGCGGGTATACCAGGGATCGATAGCTAGCCCCAGTCTTAACGGTGCCGAAAGCTTCTGCAAGAAACGCCGATGCGATACAGGCAAAAAAGAGGGTTTTCGCTACCTCTTAACGGTGCCTGGTGCCTTTCGAATTGGCTGGGTTGATGCTGTGTTGCTGCAGCTGCAGGTGTGCTAGGTGCTTGCGCAGAGGTGCAGGTGCAGGCGGAGGATGGCGAGGTGCGTCCTGTCTTCCTGGCTGGCTGGCTGCCCGTCTGTCTGTCTCGCTGCCGTGCTTGGTCTGGAGGTGCGTTGCTTCTTTTTTAGAGTTACTGCTGTTTCTTTCCTGTCCAGCAGAAGCAGATGCCAAAAGTAGGACAGTGTTTCGGGTTTGTGTACGTTGTGCGTCGAGAGACGGATTAAGTTGTCGGGGAGGATGGGATGGCCCTTTACGGGTGGAGGGTGGGATATGTATGTAAGTCGGACAACGCGCTAAAAGGGAGGGGGGTCCGAAGGCCAGTTCAGTCCGTCCTAGTCCTCGTCCTTCTTCTTTTCCCTGATACGCGGTAGTCTAGCTCCAGGGACTTGCGTAAACTTGTCTTTGCCCGCCTGCGACAAGAATGAAAGCGACCGGGAGGATGGATGACTGATAGTGGGTGACCAAGATAGACCGTCCTGCCCACACTAGCTCTGCGTCGTTCGGCGTCGCTGCCTCTCTCGGATTGTATCGTGCGTTAATTAGAGTCGAACCTCGGACGGTCGTTCGACTATGAAAGCTTGCTTGTTGCGGGTCTGCAAGACTGAAAAGACTGGCTCGTGGTCGGCTTGGGTCTTGGGGGTCTTGTGATATCGAATTCCCGACTCGTCCCAATGTGTGATGGGCAACAAGAACAAAAAGTGATGGAATGGCCAGACGTGCAGCTGGGCTTGGGCAAAAGAATGGGAATGAATGGATGCAGGACGAAAAGCCAGCGCCTACAGAATGGAAGGGAGGGTAGGGTAGAGAAAATAGAGTCGAGTCGATGCAGCGAGGGACCAAGGGGAACTTGACTGGTCGGGTTGTGGGCCGCGAGTCTGGGTGTATATCATGCAAGCCGCTCACAAGTGATTGATATTCCTTCCCACTGGACACTGGATTGTCAGTCAAAAAACGCTTAGGATGCCTGTGCTCCGGTGCTCGTCCAGTTGCGAGTTGCAGGGGCATCCAAGGGGTGGTTTCTTGCTGTCGACTCGAAGGGGGTGCTTGGAGCGAACAGCCCGGAACAAGTGGCTTGGGCTCTGCGGTGGATGAGAGAGAGGGAGGGGTGTGTGTCTTGTCTCTCCCCTTGATTTTGACACGCCCTCTTGAGACTTGGTATGGAAGAGACCAAGTTGTGCAACCGACCGATCTCTTGCTATCACAGGATCTGCCTCGGGAATCAGTGCACAGAGGTGGTCAGAAGAGCGTCTTCTGATAGCTGTGAGAGACACATGGAGAGAACTTCTCCGCGCCGTCTGGCGACATTCCCCAACTCGTCGCCGTTGTCACTATAAGTTGCCGCGCAGATCCCTCTTTTGGCTTCCAACAAGGTAGCTCATTCGGCAGAGAAACAAACTTGTCTAAATTGAGGGACAGAATCAAGTGTTTTCTCTCGAAATCGGACCACTTTGCATATCTCGTCGCCAGATGCTGGGTTGTGAAAGTGCTTGACATCGAACGTTGGGATTCCCTCGGGCCTCTGTGCCTCTCTTGCCCCCCTGGGCCTGGAGGTGGCCACCCTGGTCTGTCTGGGCATCCCATCCGACGTCCGTCCCGGGGGTGTGTGAGACGCGCCTGGGCACCACACCTTCATGTTAGAGTGATGGGCTCGCGAGAAGTCAGAGTCCATGTCAGGGCGGGGCGGGTCAGATCGCGCATCTTGCGGTGGCCAAACCAGGGGAGTGGCTGTCTCCGCCTCTCATTCTCCTGATGGCCCAGGGACGGACGCTGTCGACCTTTCCTGTCCTGTCCCGCCGTGTGCCCCCTCCAGCCGGGTAAGACGCAGCAATCCCTTAACGGCAATGCACTATTGTCGGGTGTCGCAGGCATCTTGCAACCACTGCGAATCAGGGCCTGTCGGTTCCCATGCACGAAGCGTTCCAGTGATTGCGAGGCGTGCCTGATTGGCCGCCAGTAATACGGGACTTGGATCGGACCTGTGAAGCCTCCAGCGCCTACAGCCAAGGGCGCGTAGGCGAGAGGCTAACGCCGCCTTGATCACACTGCCAACTCTGCTTCGGTAGTAATTGAGATGCAGCTTGCAGCACAGTTGTGATGGCCCTCGTGGCTTGAGTGCCAAAGGAGGGGGGGTTCTGCCGGTGATGATGAGCTGCTGCTGCAAGAACAAGTGCAACTGCAACTAAGGCTGCAGGCCATTCCGTCCCATCTTGCCAGTTGCCGGGCTATTTGCTTTTTTCCCCCCAGGTGATGGAGATCAGGAAGCGACCGGTGTAAGTGCTTGCAGACTGCCGCCATTCATCGCATCACAGTGAGTGATTAAGTGGTCCGCATTTCCAGCCCGCTGGAGGTGGTCCATGACGTTTGGCAGAGAGATGTTTAAAATAGCATACCCGACAGTGCCGTGTTCCCAGCACTGCAGTCTGCAGATGGGAGAGGTTAAGCGCCGGGAATCATCTCGTGATTGGGTTGTCCCGGCCAACTGTCACTTCGGCCGCCTCGGCGGTGAAGGAGTGTTGGTGTGTCCGAAGGAGGTTGACAGGTTGTTAGTTGGACAGGCCGAATCGTCCAGGCCTTTGCAACAAGGTTATCCATCATCCAACCGACGGGAGATGTGCTTCACCATGGCCGCCAAACTCTGCCTGATGGGATTGGCGTTCTATGTCGGTGACGGGCTGAGGTCGAATGAGAGTGTCACGATGAGAGTGCATCAAGTCATATATCTGAGCACAGGGCGAATGCGGCGACACGACACCGGCCGGTTGGTTGGCATCAGGGCTGGTGACAGCGGGGAAGGAGATGGTGTAGTGTCGTTGGTCGATGATGATCTGCGAGGAAACCGAGGGCTCGTCACACAAGACCCGCCGTCAGCAGCTCTGCGGCACAGATTCGGTAGTCCATGCTGCTCGTACTGAGGACCAACGTTCCTGCATTTGGGGTATTGAGCCGTTCAACCATGCCACATTCCACCTAAACGGGGTATGCAGGAGTTGAAGGAAGATGAGGTGAGATGGTGCTCGGTCGACGCTGCCGTGTGATGAAGCCATCGTGGTGCGACCCGGACAGACATGCGTCCAGATGGCGGGGACAGTTCGTCGGCGGTGGTGTGCAGAGCCCTTGGTGGACGAAGAGAGTAGCAGAGGCCGCCAAGAAGTTGACAGATTCCTCACCATTCCCCTTTGTGGCGTCAAGTCCGGCACAAGACATCTCGTCCAGTCTTTGTCAGAATTTGGACAACCTTATCTGCAGCGGGTCCAGCGTCCCAGACGACCCATGTCCAGCCCAAGAAGCGGAGGCATCGGATAGGCAGACAGACCGTGCTTCAGTCTGGAGGCAAGTGCTGACTTGGCTTGGTGAAGCCGAAGATGTGGTTAGCCGTTAAAGATGTCGGATAAGGTGCGATATCACGAAATGCTGATGGGGCTAAGGTACCAGCCAGCAGGGTCCGGGATCTGGATCAGGAGTCTTGGCTGTGAAAGAAGCTCAGCCACACCTTGTTGACGTTTCCCTTAGGCTCGATTTGCTAACGCCTGGGACAATTAAGCTATGCGTAGCGCGCATTGTGGAGGCAGAAGGGGCAGGCAGGCAAGGCAAGAGCAGGCAGGAGCGACCTGAACGGGGAAAGGGAGGAACGGAACAACTTCCACTGACCAGCCTCCTACCTATGCCGTGCTAAGGTATTGAGCATCGAGCATCGAGCATCCCAGGTCCTTGTTTCTGCCTCGCAAATCTTTTTCGTTTTTCCCCCTTCATCTTTCTTCTCCCGTATCGATTCGGCCTCGCTGAGTAACGCCGATTGACGCCGAGTACTACATTGTGGTGTTCGAGAATGCCGTCGAAGCGTGGAAATTGAAAGGAGATCTCTCTTCCATTCCTCATCAGGAAGCCGATGATGTAAGTCAGACAGGGGACTGAAGCAGAACAAACGGCACAAGCCCGAGGAGGGTCCCGGCTTCCGAGAGAAGGAGCAAAGAACAATGACTTGCATTCCAATCTTTGTGGAAAGAAGCTCCTTCCACGAAGAGTTCCATAGGGCACAGGGCAATCGCACCCCCGTACCGTACCTACCTTACGAATGCCGTGGGCAAGTGCCTACCTTAGGTACACAGCGATTGCCCTCCTGGCTCCAATTCGGCTGTTTCCCTGCTTGTCTCTCCGTCTCTATGGAACACCTTGAACGCTCCTGCCTGCGCAAGCCAACAGATCATCGACGATATCAGGGGCTGGCCAAGATGAGTCACAAGCACTAACAATCCTTGGGCAATGCTTAGATTCCCTACCTTACTGGCAGCCACCAGCACCGTCAACTCTAATTATCCCTGTCGCTGGAGGTCTCAAAAATCCTGCGAAACTCGCTTCTCCTTCAGGCTGTTTTGAAAGTCCCGTGCTGGGGTCTCCACTGACGTTCCGTCCAGCAGGGGAGCCACGCTCTTTTGGCCCCCATTGACGCCTTGGCCTGGGAAGGCAGCTTCCGCTGTAACGCTAGCGGCAGTGGAGCCAACACCTCTGAAAGTCACTCTCCTCCTGCTCTCGGTGCAGCAGTACCTCATCCATCCTGCCCAGACCAACAGCCACACTTTGCCGCATGAACTAGACGTCAAGCCAACGAACTTCACCATGTTTTACTACGCAGCATCCGGTCGAGGAGCATCCAGCCGCATGCCTTGCACCGCTGCGACTTGAACTGCGACTGCAACTGCACGCCTGCCACCTACCTTACCTTGCCTTACTACGGATGCCTCCCGGTCCTGACCCAAGGTGACTCTGTACGACGACCCTACAGAGCCACACAGACGGGAACGCGCACCGCAGACGCCATCAATCAGTCAGTCAGCACCACAGCGCTCCGCTCCGAGTTGCTCCTCGTTGGTGTTCTCTATGACTCCTTTTTTCCGATCAAATGTCACAAGTCTGGGCATCCCTTCGAACGGATGAATCCACCCGTGACGCGGCGATCTCGTCGCTGTGCGCTTTCAATGCAAACTGAGCCGAACTCAACGGTCCGTTGCCCGCATTGCAAATCACCAACGGGGCCACCGGCCGGATCCTCAGATCCCCAAACCAAACGATTGCCTTCCTTGAATCAGCTGTAACCCAAATACTGTTTCTTGAATCGTTCAAGTCAAACAAGTTTACATCGCAGCCCTCGATTCAGTTCAGCGCAATGGCGCCTCAGTGCCACTTTGATCCTTAGGGTTCTGTCAACGATGCCTTGACATGCCGTCAACGAACACCCTCCTTTGCCAAAAAAAAAATGCACCGCATTACCTCATGTTGGCTGCCTTAGCTAACCTGTGCTCCCAGGCCACCTCATCCCGCATCCGATATCGAGTCTTGGTTTCAAACCTGGCCAACCTCTCCACAATCTAACCCCTTTACACGTATGTATGTCGTCTACTTCCACGTCCACCTCCACGCCCTCGCCTCGCCCTCGCCCACCCGTATCAGCCACTCCCGCATCGCCCATCTGTGTTCACTCCTCCCTCGGTGGGTCTCTTGACGGCAGGCCCGCCTCGACCCCCTTGCGATCCAGAGAAATAAGGTAGCGCCTCTGGTCCCTGTTCAACCACACACGCGTATTCGTCTCATCTACCACCTGTCACTCGCGCTCCGCCTCCTTCCGGTCTTCGATCGGTGGGGGGAATCTCCCGGAACCGTCATCAGTGTTTCCTCTAACATGATCTGCATCAAGCCGACGCTGGAGCCACGCCTTCTCTGCCTGGCTGGCTGGCTGCCCTAACCCGGGCCTCTTCGCAGGGCTTTACAGCATTGCCTTCAGCCTGGGCCAAAGATTCACGACGGGGCTGCCCTATGCTCCCCCGCCCGTCCCACAGCACGGAGACAATCAAGAACTCGGCAGAAAAATCTGGCTGAGACAGGCCTTGTAAAGCTTGGCACATATCAAGGTTAACTGGATGGGCCAGGGAGAATGGACGGCGCCAACAACCTTACCGAAACCCCAGACTCCATCACCCTGTGACGCTGCCTCAGGGCCAGTAAGCCAGACACACGGTAGCCGCGAATCATCCAAGCCCGATAGTCGCTCGAACCTTACCTTATGCTGTCCCGAACGAGTGACAAGATGCCAAGGTCTTGAGAAACTCAGCCTCAATGTTGAATCCACCTGTGGTGTGGTTCTTTGCATTTCTCACACCACAAGCCTGAGGACCCCTGCCGTCTGGCTTGTCAGTCTCATGGGAAGCCTTGGCCGCCGACCTTATTCGACCCGGTCGGCGTTGGTCGACGTCAACGTTCATCGCAAAAATCGTACGATGTTGTTTACAGCAGCTACCATCCCCACGTGCTATCACTGGCGATCTACTCGAGCTCATTCGGCTTGTTCAACCGAGCGCCAAACAACTGGAAAAGCTGTTGTTCATTCTCGTGATCCATCTCATACATCATTCGAGGGGTTCCCACGAACATTCAACGTGGCACCTACAACATGCCCTTCTGGACCTCATCCTTTCTCTCCTCCCACAGCGTCTTGCCCGTGCATGAGCAGACTGTCTTATCATTGTCCCACACGCCTGCACTCCTGGCAATCACGCCGACGACCGTGTCCGGGTCATTCTTCAGGATCCCCGCAGACTCATCCTGTCTCGAGACGACCATAGCGTGGCCAATGATTTCCCAGATCTGGAAGGGCTTGTCGAGGTAGGCGCTGCCTCTTCCATCCTTGCCGACTTCAAAGGTGCCCAAGAATCCCTTGGCAGCGGTGCCTTCGCTGCCTCCCGACCAGACAGGGCCCGTCGATGAGGCGCCCGTCTCCAAGTTACCGTACTCACGGATTGTTGCTCGGTAGGAGCCGGGGGCTACGCCGCGAAGAGTCAAGTCAATCAGGGTGGTGGTGGGAGACACCTGCACCATTCTAGCCAGTCCCCTGACATCTCGGGTTCGCTCATCATCCCACTTTGATGCACCGCCAATGCCGTCTGCCTGATAGAAAGACTCGAGAATGCTGACAGCAGCACCTAATTGGTGAGTAAGCATTTGCGCTCGTGTGTCAAGTTGTCAAGATGAGCAAGTTTAAGAGTGAATACCCCATCTGCCGATGCCAATGCCGGTGCGGCGGTATCTACAAGACGGGATGGGTGATATCAAGAAACAACTTAATATTCGCCAAGGGGTTACAGGAAATGCAGAATGTGTACTTGGGCAACGCCAAAAGCCAGCGCTGGATAGGCAGAAAATTCCTCGCCCAGGGTTGTACGGGAGTGGCGGAGAAGAAAAGAGAGATTTGGTTCAACCTACTGTTTGATACTCCCGAACCTCGCAGGATAGCGTCCCTCCCCGTGGCTTGGATGGCGTCAACGATGGCGGATGGTGCGGCTGCAAAACGTTGCCAAGGGGTTAGTAACGATTGTCAACGAGACGCCAATCTTGCCTCTATCGGGTTGAAGGGTGAGAGGCATTCCCTCCAAGCCAAAACAGACTCAAGCCTTGGAAGCCTCAAAGCATAGCTTTGCCCTACTACCGCCCGCAAGAGCCTACCTCCCCCCAGCATCGTGACGAGAGGAAGAGTACTTTCATCAAGCACTTGACGTTGCAGTGCGACGCAGGTAGTTGGGGAAAAGGTGACCGGCGGGCAAAAGATCGTATGGGAGTCCGCCCGTGGGGAAAAGGGAAAAATGGTGGTGGGACAGAATTTTGGCCCAACCTCTAAGCCCGCAACATTTTGGCTTGAGAGTTTGCAGCAGAAGGGAGCGTACCTGTGCCCTCGACGGAGAGTAATTGGTCCTTGAGATCGGCCTCGACCTTGGTGATGCCCCCCAGCTTGTACAACGAGTCTGAAACGTCCTTGACGCAGCTGTCACATGTCATGGGCACCGCGAAAACGGTCTAGTGTCGCGTTTCATTAGCAATCCCTTTGGTAAGGAACGGCCAACATCGCCTGGGTTGGGCAGCAGATCGAGAAAGAGTAGACTTGGGAGAGTGTGCAAGGTGAAGAATAAGGGAAGATGTCAAGGTCCGTCTCGCCGCGCTGTCTTTGCAGGTCGGCTTGGCATAAAGCATGCTGGTCTTTTTTTCTTCTTTTCCATTTTGTCTGGAAACAAGACGAGTTGAAGAGAGGACGGCATATTCTGGTGCTGCGGGCGGGCGGGCGAGCGGAGGAGGGGGCAAAGGGGAAAGGATAGACGAACCTGAAAAGGATATGAGACGGTCATTGTGAAGGGTCTCGTCGGTCTTGCGCTTGGCTGTTGCGGGCTTCGTAGCAGAGAGCGGTAGTTGTGAAGGAAGTCGGGGAGGCAGTAGAGTATGCTCTGCCCTGCTGGCAACTGTGTGTAAGGTAGTGGTTATGGACGACCAACAGTCGGGTTTTAATCGTTGTCTTCCGAAAAGCCTAGGAAATCTTCTATTCACTGAAAGGGAGATTGGCTGTATGGTGGTGATGGAAGTTTTGCGAGGTTCTGCTTCTATCCCCTTCCAAGGTGGTATGCCCGCCCAATGGGAGAACCGGATACGCGCCTTTTAATACCTGCATCGTGGGATCCGACAGTGGTGCCTTTGCTGAGAAATCGCCTTACCGGCGAGCCCCTCAGCAGTTCCGGAGCAGCAGGCGCAATAGCAGAGCGATTACGGCTCGCTGTGACGAGCTCAAAGATGCCCCGCCATGACGCCCGGGCCATCTGGTGCCCCTCAACTGTGACATTTCGTAATCGGGGGTTGTTCGGCGCTCGGTCGCCGCAGCTGCCGGTGGGTGGGATCCAGATCGATAAGTGCTTATCGGATAAGATCACGGGTACAGTCACGTGCATCCGTGTCTCCAAATTTTTGGAAGAGCTCAGGTCATGCGAATTGAAGGTATCGATATCCAACGGGCAGCGCAAACGATCGCCGCGTACAATCAAAGACGAACTTCGGAGCGCGACTGCTGGCCCGCTGCCGATCGACTGTCCCTGAATCCATTGGGGCGGAAAAATCCATCAAACAAGCGGCAGGACGGAAACCCAGCTGAGGCGGCTGGCCTAGGAGGTTCTCAAGATGTCGCAAACCCTCGGCCTCGTAAGTCCTTCTCCCCCCGGTCACCGATTGCACTCTCCCCAGCAGCAACCTACAGACCGCTGACCATTCCCCCGCGTGGATGACAGACCCGCCTCTCTTACTCAAGAGTATGGCACCAGATCTCGGCCGCGGCGCCGCACGAGACGCTCTCGACGCAGCCGGGCGTGACGCCGCCCTCGCTGGGCCGGCTGGCGTCCCGCATCGCGACGCTGCTGATGGGCAAGCACAAGCCGACGTGGGACCCGTCGACGGACTGCGGCGACTACGTGGTGGTGACGGACTGCGCGGCGCTGCACGTGACGGGGCGCAAGAAGTGGCAGAAGACGTACTACCGGCACAACACGCGGCCGGGATCGCTGCGGCAGGTGACGATGGACGTGCTGATGGAGAAGCACGGTGGCGCGGAGGTGCTGCGCAAGGCGGTCAGCGGGATGCTGCCCAAGAACCGGCTGCGGGACAAGAGGCTGGCGCGGCTCAAGGCGTTCGAGGGCGCGGCGCACCCGTACAAGCAGAACGTGATCCGGTTCGGGGACGTGCCTGTGGGCCAGACGGGGTGGGAGGAGCAGGTTAAGGCTATTCGCGAGGCTGACTCGAAGAGGATATAAGATGATGGGAGAGGGAGGGGGAGTGTGGAAGGGTCTTGGCCGTACGGCGTGTATATTCTGTATGAATATGGGCATCTCAATTGAAGTCTAATGAGTCTCACGCAACTGCGTTGTTGTCAATGGACTTGCGAGGTTGGACGGTTGCTACCTCGGGTAGTGAAGAGCATGATGTTTGGTGCGTCTGGTATGAGCGGCAGCGAAGATCTGCTGAGATCTTGAAGTAAGATGGCACAGGAGAAGAGGAGGAGGGCTGCGGATTGTCACTGCACGCCTGTGGTGGCTCAAGGCTCGGTCTGTTTCTCTTGGTTGTGTTTTAATTTGCTTCTTGCTACGTCCTGATGCTCTTCGTTTCTCAGGAGTGATCATGCCATGTCCTAAAGCCTTCATTGAATCCGACCCGTGGAATTGGTGAAGTGCAGAAAGATGTCGGCCCAGACTTCATGTGTGAGTTCACTTAATAACTGGCAAATATGTCTGTTGCTATACTCTATATCCGTTTCATTCAGGTACTTAAGGCAAGGACGGGAAATGATAATGTCCTACCCGGAGTGAGCTGATGCTCAGTGACCGTTCATATGCCAGGGTGTTGACGTTGTTGCCTCACATGACTTGAGCCATGAGAAAACCATCTACTTGAGTTCGGTAATCAACACTGAGAGAAACCTAGGCTTCTGATCGGATCTGACGGTGGCAATATCCCACGGGGACGGACGACGACGTCCGATTAATAGGTGTAATTTCACCGGCAAGTTGTTCGTTCACCATGGCCGTCAGTTCCGGCCAAATTCACGTTTTTCAGCTCATGATGACGATGAGACGATCATGACTGGTTCTCATGTTAAGATGCATATCTCTTATCGTGTTCGCAATGAGACGAGGTGCTAAAATTGGGCGCCATGTTATTACACACGAACTCACGATAATCTTTACGTCACTCATTTGAACCGAGACGTTGCAATTTAGCACTTGATATCATTGCTCTAAGTCATTGCTCGTTATTACAGTAAAAAAATACCCAGCCAGATGCGGGTAGAAAATGCATAGACGCCGGGATAAATGCAGCGCAGGCTTCAAATCCTCTCCATCTCATTCCCTCTCAGCGACGCCCCAACCCTTACAACTTGGCCGTCTCGTTCTTGGCAGAGCGCGCGACCTCGCACCTGATGAGACCGTTCGGGCCGGACTGCGGCGCGTACACCTCGGCGTCCTTGCCTGTGTTCTTCAGGCCGTTGTGCCAGCTGAGGTCGATCTCAAAGTAGTGCTTGTTGGGGAGCGTGTAGGTGACGGTCAGAACCTCTGGCACGGCGGCGAGGATCTGCTCGCACATCTTGTACATTGTGTTCTGCACGCTGGCGCTCTCGTCCTCAGCAAAGGTCTTCATGGTGATGTCGCGGGCGGCCTGCCAGGCCGGGTCGAACTTGGGGACGGCGGCCCTGACGGCGGCGACGTTGGGGAACTTCCAGGACCACTGGGCGTCGACGTCGGTGGAGAGGATGCGGTCCCAGGTCTCGGGGAGGGTGGTGTACTCGTCGCGGACGAAGCCGTGGAAGGCGGAGCCGGTGCTCTTGAGGACGGTGAGCTTCTGGATGGCGGAGGTGAGGGCGATGCCGTCCTTGCGGGAGATGCGGGCCTCGACGTTGCGGGTCTCCTCGCCGTCGCGGAAGAAGGAGTGCGGGTGCGGCTTGCCGTCGACGGTCATGCGGGTCCAGCGGTGCTGGACGATCTTGATGTTGGCGGCGTGGATGTGCTTGTAGGTGTCGAGGAAGTGGGTGCCGAGGATGGAGGCGTAGAGCTCGGGCGGGTTGATGGGGTTCTCCTTCGCCTTGATGTAGATTGTGTTCTTGATGGAGTCGGTGGCGACGACGACGCTGTTGTCGGCGACGGTGTAGGATGTCTCGATCTCGCCCTCGAGCAGGCAGCAGACGGTCATCTCGGTGACGGTCTGGGAGTCGCCGTGGCGCTCGACCTTGTAGACGCGGACATTGTCCTTGCCGTAGCGGGCGGAGGCGAGAGCGGGCATGTTGGCGGTTGTTGTTGTAGGTTTGAGAGAGGGTATCACAGGGAGAGGTGGTATGAGACTTATCACGGGGTATGAGATGGGTGTGAGATAAGGACCGCTGTTGGAAAGAACTGTGTGGAAGCAAGATGTGATGGCTTGAATGTGAGAGGAGTGGTTGTTGTTGAGGTTGGGGATGAGATGAGGTCGCACGGAGGACAGACTAGAGGGAGAGGAGATAGTCGTCGAGGGGCCCGATAAGTGTTTATATATTAAGACGGCAAGGTTGAGAGCTCTTTGCTTGCCTCTCGCTTGCCTCTCAAGCTCACCTTAGCCTCGTTCAACGTCACCCAGTACACACAAAGCTGCCAGGCCCCCGGAGATAGATAGCGTAGTCGCGTCTTGAGTCGGCACGTTTTTTTGCCCTGGCCCGCGGGACGCCATCAGGGGACCCAATGAGCCTGGCCGAACTGACCCGGTTTGCTTGATAGGGCCCGGCAGCCGTGAGGTAAGATGGTCTCATTGGCGTGGAGTGGAGCCCCCGGAGCCCGCCGATGTCCCTTGGGGGCAGCCCGCCGCACTCAGCCGCTTCAGTGGGAGCTTGACTACGGCTCTCTGCGCCAGGCGGGACGGCGGGGAACGCTGGGTAATTTGTCTACTTCAGAAATGAAAAAGCAAACGCCTTTCGGTCAATGATGGACTAGTGTAGGGTTTCTGCAGGGTCCGCATTGAGGATATTGACACGGGACTCGGGGTCTGTTGGTTCATCTTTCGTGTAATTGTTACTCCCACGCTGGTGATCACTGGCTGAAGCACTGACTTACCACCACAGCATCATGGAGACATGTATCCGAGTCTGGCAAAGTTCACTTGGATATCCGTCTAATGGGAAGGCACCCAACAGAGGAAGAGTTTGCGCCGTTGCGCAGTCAGAATGATACTGAATGTTTGCATGTACCGTGTAGTGCAACAACTCTCCTAGAGGCTCACTGAACCCCACATCGTCATGCAGGTCCTCCTCAGCAATCCCAAGGGCCCGGCCGACCATCTGCCGCCCCTCCCCGAGCCTGAGGTGAGAAGGAGGCCAAGTGAGGCGAGGTGACGACCGATAGGATCCGAGACCCCCGCTTCTTCGGTGGTGTGTGGGTAAGTATGAGGCCGAAGGGCCGAAGATCAAAAGCCGGTTCATGATCCTGACAGAAATAATTCTGTTCATGTTCACGCTAGTAGTAGCACTCGATCGCTCGCGCTCAGCGGCGGGGAGCCTTATCGCACGCACAGATGGACGTCTCCGAGGGCATCGAACGACTTGTGGAAGGGAGCCGGCCGCGTTTCAGCATTGGCAGTGACAGTCTGCGCTGTGGCACGAGCAGCTTCAGACGGCAAGGGCTTTCCTCGGGAGGATAAAGTAGGATGGTCCATGGTTCGTGGTCCGTGGTGCATGGTTGCGAGCATGATGAAGGTCTCTGGAAGCAGTTGGCAGTCGTGTGCCAAGATCTGTGTCTGGTCTTCTAGTGGCTTTATCCGGATCTCTGGCCGTGTGTTGCAATGCGCTTCATGC